GCTCTTTAGTCAGGGAGGCTATCAGATGCTTACCACTACCATTTGATCTGCATCTATTCCCTGTCATTTATCAGCAGCCACAGCCACTGATGAACTAGCAGTGAGGCCTCCAAACTGCAAAATGCTGTGTTCTGCACATGGAGACAGCTGCATGCTCAGAATGAAAATGTGTTCGCTGCAGGTAGCAAACAGGTCATCCTCACAGCCTGGCCCATTTTATTCCCCTTGCCTTTTGTTTTTGGAAGGCTGTTTTGAACACACCCTGAGAACCAGAAAACTTATTTACAGTCACTGGGTTGTTTACCTTATAAGGCCTTGAACCTTTCTCTTTCTAGAACATGTGATCAAAGCAGACCCTCCAGGTGTCCCTATTTTACACTCCCAGATTTACAGAAGCTGTCTTGGCTTCTGATTTCATCTTGGAATGTCCCGCTTTTCCTTAGGACATCCCTATTTTCATCGGAGAAATGTTGGAGGGTATGGAGTTACGTGGCCCCTGAGCCAAGGAGACAAGTAACTATACAACCTTTAGAAGACATCTGACGGCAGCCTTGTATAGTATTGTGATGTTTAATGCTTAATGTTTAATGCTTAAAGTTATATTATGTTTTATGTAAGTTAGAAGCTGCAATTTATAAATGATAAAATGATGATGATGAGGAGGAGGATGATAGAATGGGATGTCCCCATTTTTATCAGAGAAATGTTGAAGGGTATGGAGTTTTGCAACTCCCCAAGGCAAGCAAATAAGTAACTATACAACCTTTAAAAGACACCTAAATACACCTGTATAGGAACGTTTTTTTTAATGTTTAATGTTTTATTATGTTTTTATATATGTTGGAAGCTGCCCAGAGTGGTTGGGCAACCCAGCCAGATGAGTGGGGTATAAATAAAATCATCACCACCACCACCACCACCACCATCATTATGGAATAGGACATCCCTAGTTTCCCAGTAGTGATGTATGGAAGTGAGAGCTGGACCATAAAGAAGGCTGATCGCCAAAGAATTGATGCTTTTGAATTATGGTGCTGGAGGAGACTCTTGAGAGTCACATGGACTATAAGAATATCAAACGTATCCATTCTGAGGGAAATCAGCCCTGAGTTCTCACTGGAAGGACAGATCGTGAAGCTGAGGCTCCAATACTTTGGCCACCTCATGAGAAGAGAAGACTCCCTGGAAAAGACCCTGATGCTGGAAAAGATTGAGGGCACAAGGAGAAAGGGATGACAGAGGACAAGATAGTTGGACAGTGTTCTCAAAGCTACCAACATGAGTTTGACCAAACTGCGGGAGGCAGTGGAAGACAGGAGTGCCTGGCATGCTCTGGTCCATGGAGTTGGACACGACTAAACAACAACAACAATTTTCACCAGATGGTATGTCACTGGGATACATGCAGGAGCCCATTTCTTATCACTGCACTCAACTCTTATAAGGTATTCTAAGTAGGGGGGAAAGAGAGTATATTTCTAAAGGCACACCAGATGGCATTCAGCTTCTCTTTAATAGCAATATGCATAAGGGCACAGAACTGTAAACTGATTTGCAGCATTACTGCCAGCCAAATAGAAATGACAGTAGTCAATTCACTGGGAAAGGACCAAGGGTAGAGTTGACATGAAATTGTTCCTAACATACTTCCTTTGCATATTCAAACCTAACATTCCCATCCATTTATTGTGGTACTCAGTGTAGCCATTTGAATAACAGCAATTTCATTTTTATAGCCAAACTAAAGATGTCAATAGGTGCCCTCACAAGCTTTAGCACAGATTGAGTGCAGTTTGGGTATGAATTTCTGCTTCTGTTTTTTTAAAAAAAACACTGTCTCTGTGTGTTTTTAAAAAAACAGAAACGAATGCTGCATGTTTTTGGAATGTGCAAAACTGTAAGAAGGAATGCCGTGGTATAGGTTTTGAAATCATGACTGCAATAATAAAATTTTATGGGTTCTCCAGGGTTGAGAGCAAATTAACAAATCAACCTTCACTGCAGTGAACACTTAGGTTATTAGAGAGAGCAATTTGCATGGCTGTACAAATAAAACAACCCAGACCAGCTTGTTACATTTCTGCTGACTCAAAAGACTGCGCTAAGCACATAATAGATCTAAGAGACTACAACCTGCAGCTGAAAGAAACCAACTGCTGTCATGGTCCATGAAATGCCATTGATTGTTGCAGATGCCTTGCCTTCACACGGCTTATTTTCTAAGCAGGGTTATCCACAAATGGAGAGCCTGTTGCCTTCCAATATGTGGTTGGACCTCCCAAAAAACCAAATCAACATGGTCAGGGGTGGGGGGGGAGAATTGTAGCACCATAACATCTGGAGATCTGTGTACACAGCTTTGTGAACACATTCCCAAAAAACATTTATTTGGTTTTTCAAATTAAAATTTTACAGTCACATTATCCAACATACAACATAAAAACAAGATTCCAATGAATCTCTTGGACTGCCCTCCTACCCTTTGTGGGTCCTATTGTTAATCATTTCCTCCTGCATCATTTATGATAATCCAAATCATTTACCTCTCCATTGTGTCCAAAATTCACCATTAGACTACAAGTGATATTCCAACCCTACTAACAGTTTTAACTGTTTACAATGGTTTTTAAGATATGTTAGAATTTTTCCCCATTCCTTATTAAAATTTTGGTCTTCCTGATTTCTGATTCTTCTGGTCATTTTGGCCATTTCAGCATAATCCATCAACTTGATCTGCCATCCTTCTCTGGTAGGGATTTTATCTTCTTTTCATTTCTGGGCCAATAACACCTGCACAGTCGTGATCACATACATAAATAGTCTTTTCTGCTCCCTTGGGATTTCGGCACCTAGAATTCCTAAAAGGAAGGCTTCGGGGGTTTTTAAAGAAAAGATTGTTTTAAACATTTTTTTCAACTCATTGTATATTATTTCCCAGAAATTTTTTACTACCTTTCATTTCCACCACATATGATAAAGTGCCTTCTTTTTTCTTACATTTCCAGCATACATTTGACCCCATTTTATACACTTTTGCTAATTTGTTAGGAGTTATATACCATCGGCACATCATTTTCATATAATTTTCTTTCAATGTAAATTGTGCTATTTTTACTGCTGTTAGTCGCTCTGAGCCCAGCTTTGGCTGGGAAGGGTGGGATATAAATATAATTTTATTATTATTATTATAACTTGTAACATGCTGTGAACTTTAAATCCCAATTTCATAACTTCTCCCATGCTCTAAGTTGCATATTATACCCCAAGTCTCTCGCCCAGTGTATCATTACTGATTTGACCTGTTCGTCTTTTGTAGACCATTCTAGTATTAGTTTATACATTTTTGAAAGTAATTTTGTTTTATTCTCTAGCAGCTCTTTTTCAAATTTAGAGATTTCAGCACAAAAACCATTCTTTTTGTCCACCTTGAATATATCATTTAATCTGTGAACATATTATCTGCTACTTACCTGGTCAGGGATCACAAACCCAGCATCTCTGGGTACCACATTGATGGTCCTCCTGTATTCAGGGTGGGGGGATATTTGAGGTGGCTGGCAGGCACCCCTTTTGTCCATGGAGGGGCTTTTGTATGTGTATGGGGTGTTCAAGTGTGATCTCTTCGTGTGTTACTACAAGAGGTGTACTTAGGCAGAGAGAAAGATGCATGCGGTGTGTGAGGCAGAAAAAGAAAAGGAGGAATGTGTGTGATCTCCTTAAATTAAATTATATGTTTCATTTAAGATTCATATACTGATGGTCACTGTATCCACAATGTGAACTGAGGGTGTTCTGCTATTGGTATCATTTGTATATATCCCCCCCCCCCCGATGTTTTCTGCTTTCTGCTTTAATTTTATTTCATCCTTTTCTTCCGCTCGTCATATTTTCACATTAAAAGATAATTTTAAAAAAGGAAGGCTGGATCATAATAAAGATAACAATGAAGCCATTTGGCTGTCCAAAGATCGCTAAATGCATAGACTCTGTGTCTCCAATCCACAGACACAGGTTCTCTTTAGACAAAAATGGGTATCGCTTAGGTGTCAATTAAGAGGATGAGCAAAACAATGAAAGCCCAATTTAGGTATCCTGTCCAACCAGGAAATAATATGCAAAGCACTGTTCAAGGGGCTATCTCAAAGGGATAATCTTCTCTCTGTAGACACATACACATAGTCACGACTTTTCAGGTAAGAGCCATATTTTCCTGCAAACTCTTCTCTCCTCCTATGAAAGCTCATTCACTTGGGATTCAGAATTTGATTAGTCACATGTCTTCACAGGGTGTGGTTGTCTCCACACACAAGATTTTGTTACTCTCCTAAAAATTAGGTTGCATATGTAGGGGGGGGGTGTCACTTGCTTCAGCTACCCTTATAGCTCGGCAGTAAGAGAATTATAATAATAGTTTGACCCCTTAAATGAACATAGATGAATGTAGTATTTAGTGGTGGGATCTACTCTCCAGGCATTGCTTAGGTTTCAGAATTTTGTCTTTCAAAGAGTTTGCCAACCTTATTGCTGGGGACATGTTTTTTAAAAGCAGCCGCAAAAGCCATTAGCAATTTCTGAAATGCAAAAATCTAACATTGTTAATCAAGAAGTTGCTTTCAGCTTGATCTGTGAACACTGTTTTGAATATGTGCCCCTATAGGACAGCCACTTTTAAAACCACACAGCATCCCTGGAATAGGGCTTCTCAGGAGCCTTGCATGGAATTGGAATGCAAAACCTACAAGCACTGGCGGATGAAGGTGGGGGCAGGGGGAGCGGGGAGCCCCGGGTGCCATGGGGGGGTCACATCACAGCTTCCCCCACCCCGGGACATGCACCGCTTGCCATACACCCCCCAGTGTGTGCCACATCCCCTGCGGGTGGCGCACTACACCCCCTGGGACACACGCCAGCCATGCCCCCGGATGTACGTCACTCCCGGTGCCAGAGCCGGTTGTTTCGCTGCTGCCTACAAATCAGGCAGGAAATGTTTTTGGTTTTTTCCCCAATTTTTTTATTGATTTTCCAAAAATTTAAACCAACAAACATACATACATCTTAACTGTACTTGATCCAATCTTGGTAACATCGTTAAGTGACTTCCTCAAATCCCCCTGGTTGAATTTCAGTGTATATCATTGTAACAGTTTTCCAAAACCAATTTTCTCATAAAATTAACTTGGCCACTTAACATCTTTATTTGTTTTCATTTTGACTTTAAACATATTATTCTCTAACATCACATTAAAATCCTAAGCCTATCTGGTATTTGCAAGTTTTTCCAATTAAGTTATCTTAGTATATTTAACTAAACAGTCTTTGAATTTCATCCATTCCTCCTGGTACTCCTCCTCCTTCTGGTCGTGGACTCTTCCAATCAGGTCGGCTAGCTCTGAAAAGTCCATCATCTTCATCAAATCAGACAGGAAATGTAGATAGGAAGTTTTAGGCTGGATGGAGCATAGAGAGAAGTGAGAGTGTGTGTAGAAGATAGTTTACTGTACAAATGTTCCTTTTTTGAGGCAAGCGTGGCCCCATTATTTAAGTGTAATAAAGCTTTTCTTCTTGCAGCCAATGGTAATTTCTTTATTGCATCTTAAATTTTCATACCAATATGTCAAAAAAGACTCTTGATTTTCTTTTTTAGTGACGTGCATATTTATTTAAATTTGATGAATTAACAGACCCTTTTAAACAATAAGCAATTAAATAAATTAATGGGCCATTTTAAAAGCAGGTGATTGATCTACCAAAATCCTTCATTCTGGCTTTTGGAGCATGCTCCCAGAAGACAGTTTCCAGTCGTTTAACTTTTTAAAAAAATAAATGTTACCAGTGGAGTTCCCAGGAAAGTCAAGAAAAGGCTTGGAGAAGCAAAAAGGAATTTCAGGTATGTATGAAGGCCACAAGAGAGGAGTCCTGTAACAACAACAACAACAACAACAACAACAACAACAACAACAACAACAACAACATTATTTGCACCTCACCCATGACAAAGACCAACAGCACCACCTAGTGAATCTAGGGTTCTGAACCCCTGAGAAGAATGAAATAAATAAGCAAACATCCTTAGTTTCATCTCCAGTCTACCTCCTGAGCCCCTTTCATGATAGTTCAGTTGGTCTGAACGTGACAGCTCTTTCAGAATAGAACTATCCCATAAATAACTTTCCAATTAGCTACCTGGACTACTTTCATCAGAGGCAGACCATCTAAACTCCATCTAAGGAAGGAAGGTGGCTTTTACCCGACTTAGTTCAAATACTCATTTGAGCAGTGCGAATTTGGTATTTTCTCATTCACATGCAAAAATTGCATTTCTCGCCTATCCCTATTCAGAAGACTTCTTGGCTGTCTGAACTTCCTAATTTGAAAAGCTCCATAGGAGATGTTAACCACACAGTCTCTTCCCTGGAACTCAGATTGAAGCATAGGAGGTTGGTTACCAAGCATCCGAGATCAGTACACTCCGTTTACCTTTTTTCAAAAAATCCATATTGGTTTCTTTAAAAGTAGAAAGACTTCATGTTTTTCAAAAGCAGGACTAACAGTGGCTGGGAACACAGAAAGTAGCCTCTCCATTTTGACCTGCTTCCAAGGATGTCCAGTGGAGGATGTCATGGGATTTGGGGGAAATGTGGACACCGAGGGCAGGTGTAGGATACAGACTGCTGGTGAGATTACTTGCAGAACACTCACCAACATGCTCCGGCAGCCTCGAAAGCAACAAAAATACAGTGGTACCTCGGGTTAAGTACTTAATTCGTTCCGGAGGTCTGTTCTTAACCTGAAACTGTTCTTAACCTGAAGCTAATGGGGCCTCCTGCTGCCGCCACGCCGCCGGAGCATGATTTCTGTTCTTATCCTGAAGCAAAGTTCTTAACCTGAAGCACTATTTCTGGGTTAGCGGAGTGTGTAACCTGAAGCGTATGTAACCTGAAGTGTATGTAACCCAAGGTACCACTGTATGCACTTTAACAATAAGAATTTCACTTCCTTTCTTCCCAAACATAATTTATTTTCTCATTAACTGATAGTGAATGGTATCAGTTTGTGTGTGTGTGTGTCTCTGTGTGTGTAGGGGAGGAATTTTTGAAACAGCACTAGTTAGAATTGTCAATATCACTGTTGCCTTGTGGTTGCAGTGCAGGCAAGAGGAAATCTGGTTCCAGCCACCAACGAGGAAGTCAGGAGCAGCTGCAATGGGCCAGCAAGAGCATTAGCAAGGGGCCTGGTACCACAGCTGTCAGCTAAAGGACCATCAGTGTCATGGAGTTTCCTTCCCCTTCCACTGCAGCAAATCTAGAAGTGAGAGGAAGAACACTTTGGTTAGAGAATCAAGAAAATCAATCAGAGGTCACAGACAGCTTCCTCCCAGCAAGAACACCAGCAAGGTGTTCCCTAAGTGGATTGAAATGCCTGGTAAGAACTCACATTCTCAAGATGCCCACCATTCCTCTACCTTTGTCCTCCATTCCCTTGTGCATCTGCTTTGTTTAGTAGGGAGGCAGTGATGGCTGCCAACCTAGGTGGCTTTGAAAGACGATTAGACAAATTCTTGGAGGAGAGGGCTATTGATGGCTACTAGCCATGATTGCCTTGCTCTGCCATGTCAACAAACTGGAAGCCAATAGTGCTTCTGAAAACTACAGGAGGTCTGGATCCTGCTTGCTGGTTTCTCACAGGTATCTGGATGCTGGATTAGGTGAGCCACTCTCCTGACCCCACAGGCTATTCTTATGCTCTTATCCTCTTGTTTTTTGTTTATGCACAGATTCAGGTGCTGTTGCACTAAAACTCTCATTGGTTCTCCAGACCATTGGCCACATTGGCTGGAGCTGATGGGAGTCCAAAAATATCTGGAAGGCTACAGGTTAGCAGCCTCTGAGGTATTGCACCTAGTTACTTTCAGCACTCTAGAAACAGCAAAGTATAAGGAAGATGTGGGGAGTGCATCATCACTATGAAACCTTCACACTGGGGTGGTGGGAATGTCTTTGGAACCAAGCCTGGGATGAATGGTATATCAATAAAGTTAAAATACTGCTCTTCAGACTGTGCAATATTGCCAAACAGAAAAAAGAATCTGCCCTCTTTCAAAAGAAAAACAAAGCAAAGCAAAGGAAGACCTTCTGTAATGCACCTTATGCCATCAACAAAGGGACTTTTATTTTTTCAAAAGTTTACTCATAGACTTAATTAGATCCACATGGTTATAAATGTGCATCCTTTGATTTAATACCTGTTTCCAACTCCCCCATCCAGGCCCAATAAAAACAACAGCATTGCTATTCTCCTATAAGCCAACTGGACCTCTATGCACAAGGTACATATGAGAAGCAAATTAGCAGGGTACATCATTAAATTGGTAATAAAAGGGGAGCTGGCATAATGTGACTATCTTGTTACATTAATATGCTTCCTAGCATACTTTAGGAAATTAAAGGAAACATCACTCCGTAGAAAAACATTACTGCAGTTTCAATATATCATATAGTGTTTTCCCTTGCCATATGTTCCCCTGTTTTATGGTTGTTTTAGACTTATCTTCAAACCACTTGTAATAGGGCAGAGAAGTCCTCAGTCAGTGTTAAGACTTGATCCTTACATTTTCCAAGTTTCAAAGCAGGTGTCTTTAATTTGAATGGGGCAAAGAAGGTTAAATCTTTGTAAATGTTCCTCACCTATAGAAAGCTAATTCGACAAAACAATTTGGGAACTCTGAGATGAGACTTCCCGCAGCTTCCATTTTCCCTTAACCCTTAAGGTATTGTCTCCCTGCAAAACATTTGTATACATTAAAAAGACAGCTCTGACCTAGTGATTTATTGAGATCACTTCCTTATGGATCAAAGCGAGTCTCAAGAATCAAGGAAAGGAGATCCAAGAGCGTTGATGTTGGGAATGGAGCCAAGCCTGGCAATCAGCCTGTAACTAAGTCTAAGCACATGCAAATGAACCAACCATGTATTGCTTCCTTATCTAGCCCTGTCAATGGAAGGGTTGCTGGTTATGGCTACCTCAAGCTTGTGCTCACCAATGCTAATGTGTGGTGTGCTGGCAACATCCTGACCCAGGATGTTGGTCTTCGCCAGGCTGATGGTGAGGCTGAAGTCCATGCAGGCGTGGGCAAAACAATTGATGAGTTTCTGCAGAGCTTCCTCAGAGTGCACTGTCAAGGCTGCATCATTTGCAAACAACATCTCTCAGATAAGAACCTGCCACACTTTTGTCTTGACGTGGAGACAAGACAGGTTGAACAGACCCCCATGACTCCTTGAATGGATGTACACACTGTCTTCAGTTGAGCTGAAGGCATATGAGAACAACAGGGAGAAGAATATGCCAAAGAGAGCTGGGGTGAGAACACAGCCCTGTTTCACACTGCTGGGCATGATGATGACGACGACGACAACAACAACAACAACAACAACAACAACAACAACAACAACAACAACAGAAATAGAAATTTATTATTTATACCCCACCCATCTGGCTGGGTTTCCCCAGCCACTTTGGGCAGCTCCCAACAGAATATTAAAAACACAACAAAACATCAACATTAAAAACTTCCCTAAACAGGGCGGCTTTCAGATGTCTTCTAAAAGTTAGATAGTTGTTCATTTCCTTGGTATCTGACGGGAGGGCATTCCACAGGGTGGGCGCCACCACCGAGAAGGCCCTCTGCCTGGTTCCCTGTAACCTCACTTCTCGCAGTGAGGGAACCGCCAGAAGGCCCTCGGAGCTGGACCTCAGTGTCCGGGCTGAACAATGGGGGTGGAGACGCTCCTTCAGGTATACTGGGCTGAGGCCGAGGCATCAAATGGCAGGACAGAGTCTCAAACAAAGATGTGCTTTCCCAAGCCCACGTTCCTAGCACGTCACAGGAGCCTTTCTAATCAGCCTTTGGCACTCTTTCTGCCCATGCCCTGTCCCAAGGCTGCACTCCTCACCAGCCCTGATCCTCTTTTTCTGGATTTTAGGCTGCCTTTGAGAGCAGTCCTGCTCATAGACACACTGTCTGATTTGACTCTTGAAATTTCCAGCTGGATACCCATCTTTGCATCTCATCTGCCTGCATGTCTGACCAGTGGATGCCCTACTGGGGCCAGGGGCCACCAGATCCCCTCAGAGCCCTTTTGATCCTGCCCAGTAGCCTACAGTAGCCTAGGAACACCAGATTTCCTTCTTACGATCTAGATCCCCACTTCTCTATGCAGTTTAAGAATAGGTAAAGACCTCCATCTCTTTCTCCTCACTATCCTGCCCTCTCCCTCATTGATCTAGGCATTGCCACACTGCCACATGCCTTGACTCACTGCCACCCTGCTTCTCTTCTGGGATAGGTTTCACAACTCCATACTGAGTAGCTAAGGTGATTTCGCTGTTGTTGCCTTTTAATAAACTTTTCTGTGTTGAGTCCCAAAATCTAAGCTCTGCTTTCCCTTCCCAGGGCTCTTACAGGAATGCGCTAATATACGCGTATTGCTAGTTTCTGGGCCAGCTGCATCAGATTGACAGTAGCCTGTCAGACTGTCCTCTGGGAGGAATCGAGCCAGCAGCTGTCAAGGGAGCTTCTGAGACTGGCTTGTTTAGAAGGCAATCGACCAGAGTCCCTTGTTTGGAACTAACAGGAAGCTATGGCTAATTGCGGCTTCCTAGTTTATTTCCTTGCTCACATGAAGCGAAGTGGGAGCAAATGTGTTGCATGCGAGCACACAAAGCCTATGCATACCTTGGCTTATTAAACTAATCAGTGATAGCAACTTTCAGTTTACCAGTTAGTTGAAAAATACGCTTGCATTTCTGAAGCTGTTTCAGACCCTACAAGTGTCTCCATTTCCCATGGACAGTCCCAGATTTACAGAAGTCATCTGATTTGATCCCAGAATGTCCCACTTTTCCTTAGGATGCCCCTATTTTCATCGGAGAAATGTTGGAGAGTAAGGAGTTATCTGACCCCCAGGCCGCCTGAAGGCAATCCTGTATGGGGAAGATTTTTTTATGGTTTTATATATGTTGGAAGCTGCCCTGAGTCAGTTGGATGGGGTATAAATATAATAATAATAATAACAACAACAATAATAATAATAATAATAATAATACCATATTTTTTGCTCTATAAGACTCACTTTTCCCCTCCTAAAAAGTAAGGGGAAATGTCTGTGCGTCTTATGGAGCGAATGCAGGCTGCGCAGCTATCCCAGATGTAGAATATTTTTTTTCTTGTTTTCCTCCTCCAAAAACTAGGTGCGTCTTATGGTCTGGTGCGTGTTATAGAGCAAAAAATACGGTAGTAATAATAATAATAATAATAATAATAATAATAATAATAATAATAGGATGCCCCTATTTTCATCAGAGAAATGTTGGAGGGTGTATGCTGTTTTGGTTCTGGTGTGTTACTGTACCAGGAAATTAAATATATAATATTAAAGATGGCCTTTCCTTTCAGCAATAAGTGGTAGCTATCATCTGTTAAATTACGAAAGGGCACACATTATTGTTGTGCAAATTCCTTTCAATACAACCATCAATTTATCAGCTAAACATCAGGTGAGTAGCCAGGTAAAAACACCTTGATCCACATGGCTCTGCTCTCAGTGGATTTATTTTCCCCTGTGATGATCTCTTTTGAAACGCTTCCTCATTTCTTAGCAAAACAATGTAAAGTTTCTGCAGGGTATAAAGAGATGTGAGATTATGAAATCAAATGAGCCCATGCTGTCTCAGTGGATTTGACTGTTATTAACTGCCCAAGAGATTCAAATCCAGGTTCTAAGTTAATCCCGTTGCTGATACAGGCATATCTTTCTAGAGCTCTCGGAAGGCAGTTTGCAGAAGCTGTCTTCTCTACAAGTTAAAAGCTAACCACTCAGAAGGGTCACTTCTTGTGGGATGAAACTGGGTCATCAGTTATCCCCCACTCCAACAGGGAAGGAAATAATAACCCCCCTCAAGATACTTTTCATAAGACATCCCGCAACAGTAAGTAAAACACAAGGTGTACTAAAATTAGGAAGGAGCTGGATCGTGATGTCGTAAAAGGAGTTCATGCAGTAGGGTTCGAAAATCCGAGGCTCCTTGAAAGCGTATCAGAGGCTAATGATACACTGGGTGAGGGATTTGGGGCATAACATTCAACTTTTAGATTGGGAAAGGTTATGGAAAACAGATTTGAAATTCTCGGCATGTTGTACGCTGAAAGAAAACTATATGAAAATTATGTACAGGTGGTAATTGACTCCTAGTAAGTTAGCAAAGGGACGCGGGTGGCACTGTGGGTTAAACCACAGAGCCTAGGACTTGCCAATCAGAAGGTCGGCAGTTCAAATCCCTGTGACAGGGTGAGCTCCCGTTGCTTGGTCCCTGCTCCTGCCAACCTAGCAGTTCGAAAGCACGTCAAAGATCAAGTAGATAAATAGGTACCGCTCCGGCAGGAAGGTAAACGGTGTTTCCGTGCGCTGCTCTGGTTTGCCAGAAGTGGCTTAGTCATGCTGGCCACATGACCCGGAAGCTGTACGCCAGCACCCTCGGCCAATAAAGCGAGATGAGCGCCACAACCCCCGAGTCGGCCACGACTGGACCTAATGATCAAGGGTCCCTTTACCTTTACTTTAAGTTAGCAAAAAATGTATAAGACAAGTACAAATACCTGCTGGAAATGTAGAGAAAAAGAAGGTACCTTTTATTATATGTGGTGGTCGTCTAAGGTAATGAAAGCGTTCTGGGAAATGATATATAATGAATTGAAAAAAATATTTAAAATAACTTTTATTAAAAACAAACAAACCAGAAGCTTTCTTATTAGGAATTGTAGGTACTGCCACCCCAAAAGGAGATGACTTTTTATGTATACAACAGCAGCCACATGGATGCCACTAGCCTGGAGATGGAAAGAAGACAAAGTCCCTACCAGAGAAGAATGGCAAATTAAACTGTTGGACTATGTGGAATTGGAAAACTGACTGGAAAGCTCAGGAACCAAGAAGACAAAAACTTCAAGAAAGAATGGGGGGTGGGAATTATAATTTATTTAGGAGACCACTGCAAGCAGATGAAAACATTGGCAGGATTTTAACAACACTTGTAATGTAACAATTACTATGGACAATATGGAGAGATACAAAATATGAATAATGAAATAATATGCAGCTGAAAATGTTGACAATAAGGACCATGGAGAGGGTGGTGGGAAGTCTGGAGATTCAGAGAAATCTCTAAAGGTGGATATGCATTGTTATAACTTTACGCTTGCAAAATCAAATAAAAACTATTTTCAAATGAAGAAAAGGAAGCTTATCGGAGGCTTTTCACTTTCCCAGCATGCTGTTGTGTTTGGTCCGATTCTCTCAGACAGCACCTGAAGTGATAAGCTTGTTTCTAGATTGTACCATTTTATGCCGCAAGAGTGGAGAGGGCATTTTCTGAGGCAGCCCGTAAGTTGTGGAACTACTTTCTCACAGAGATGTGTGCTTCATTATACAGCTTTGGGCATTGCTGAAGACGCATCTCTTTAACTTGGCTTTTGACACTAGAGATGAATATTGTTAGGACCCACTTTGTTTTTGAAATTAAACTGTTTGATATTAAAACACAATATGAGGCAATATTAATGTTGTGTTTTAATTGCTGAAACCTTCCCTGGGACTTTAGGGTGAAGGGCAGGCAATAAATTATTGCAATAACAATGGTTATTATTATTAATCCTTGTGCATTGAAAATTGCAAGGTTAGAAGCCTCCTTAACAATGTGATTTTTTTCCCCTTTAGTCTCAGTAGAGATTTTTTTTTTTTTTTGCTTGTTTATGGCACAGGGGAGCATTCAGTCATGTGAACCCCCACCTGAAGTATAAAAGGTACAGGTGTACCATTTTCTTTGTAGCAAACCAACCCTAAAGAAGAAATAATAATAATAATAATAATTTTTATTTATACCCTACCCTTCCTGGTGTAAAAACTGGGCTCAGGACTGCTAACAGCAAATATAAAACATTGATTAAAATGTGACTTAAAAACAGCATAAAAACAGCATAAAATACAACATAAATGCAGCATCAATGTCAATAAAATTCAAAAATTAAGGGATCATTTTGGGGAAACCCCAGACAGTAAACATCAAATGATCACCAAGGCTAACTGGCCAAGTTGGTCCTACTAGGGCCAGCAAGGAGACCAGGGAAGAGTTTAAATATGGGGTCCCAGAAGGGTTTCTTCATAGAAAAGGAAAGGGAAAAGGGAGTAGAGAATCAGGCTAATTCAAATTGAAGGCCAGGTGGAAAAGCTCTGTCTTACAGGCCCTGCGGAAGGAGATCAAGTCTGGCTTCTTTAGGGCCCGGGACCTTTAAGCTATTATTATTCATGGACCTTGGGGTCCTCTGCGGGACATACCAGGAGAGGCGGTCCTGTAAGTACGATAGGACTCAAGATGGGGCTGTGCAGCTGAAGAAGTGATGTTCTGTAGAGAGGAGTTGCTCTGATCACAGCCACTGTCAATGAGTTTTATGGGATTCAGGAAAGTATCTGGGGCATTGCTTAAAGGGGTCTCAAGTCAAAGCGAAGAATTAAGGGGTGGATTGGATAAGGGTCTTGGATTCTGTCTCTCCTCCCTCTCATCAAACCCAAAAGGCCTTCAACTAGGACACCTGTTTTCCACTTGCCCCCAAGGTTCTGCCATCTCTCCTGGGGTAGGGGGTGTTAAGCTAATATTCCACTGAAGATAAAAAGAACTGTTTTATTTCCTGCTTCATTTTGGATATTACAGAGTTGTGCAAAGCACCTCAGCTCCATCTTCCACCCATTGTCAGCAAAGGAGGATGGATTTTGGTCCTTCATCATCAGGCATGAACTAAATCCTCTTGCTCCCTTATAGTTGCTAGCTGCAACAGCTGCAAGAGGGAAAATCCTGCTTCGTAGTTTTCAAAACACCAACCTGTCTTAGTGCCGAAAAGACTATTAGTACTATGGAGACTTAACCTTCATTGGCAGAGGAGTTGTCTTTCATTCAACAGCCCTCCTCTATTCATTTTGATTTCTGCCAATCACTTTGTGCCAGACGAAGAAGGATATGTATTGACGGTTCAGTCTCCAAATCCTGCACTTAACATGACATAGTAAATGCTAGTTAGAATCCATTGTTGTACATTACAATACTAGCAAAATGCCTATCATAATGATGAACGGGATGTGTGTGTGGAGAATGGGGGTTTGTCTATCGAAAGGACTGCTGGAGACGGGTGCAAGCAACCCCAGGGACATTGCTAGTAAGGCCCATTCTGCTAGAATGGGACACAAAAGAGGAGGAGGTCAAATCGGTCATAATCAAATGGGCACAGTATATAGGACATAATATACAATTTGAGGACTGGGAAAAATTGTGGAAAAGAAATTTGAAATTGACAGGTTGTTCTCTTTTGAAAGAAAATTATATGAAAATGATGTATAGATGGTATATTACACCAGTACAGATAGCAAAAATGTACAAAACTGGGTCAAACACATGTTGGAAATGTAAAGAAAAAGAAGGGACTTTTTATCAGATGTGGTGGGAATGTAGAGAAGTTTAAAAAAAAAGGGAAATGATATATAATGAATTGAAAAAAATGTTTAAAATGACATTTGTAAAAAAAACCAGAAGCATTTCTGTTAGGGATTGTAGGACAAGACCTGCCAAGAAAAACAAAGAACTTATTTATGTATGCTACAACAGTGGCAAGAGTCTTGATAGCACAAGGATGGAAGAATGAGGAAACCCCAACGAAAGAACAGTGGCAAGAAAAATTGATGAGCTACGCAGAGCTGGCTAAATTGGCATACCAATTGTGGGATAAGGACAACTGTGACTTTAAGGAAGAATGGGAGCTTTTTACAACTTATCTAAAAGACAACAGGTTTTGAATAAACATACACAAATTTACTAGTTGATAACATGGTAGATAGGGACGCGGGTGGCGCTGTGGGTAAAACCTCAGCGCCTAGGACTTGCCGATCGTATGGTCGGCGGTTCGAATCCCTGCGGCGGGGTGAGCTCCCATCTTTTGGTCCCAGCTCCTGCCCACCTAGCAGTTCGAAAGCACGTCAAAGTGCAAGTAGATAAATAGGTACCGCCCCGGTGGGAAAGTAAACGGCGTTTCCGTGCGCTGCTCTGGTGCTGGCTCGCCAGAGCAGCTTCGTCACGCTGGCCACGTGACCCGGAAATGTCTCCGGACAGCGCTGGCCCCCGGCCTCTTAAGTGAGATGGGCGCACAACCCTAGAGTCGGACCCGACTGGCCCGTACGGGCAGGGGTACCTTTACCTAACATGGTAGATAGATACTGTAAGGATATGTATAATTTTACAACATGCAGAGAATAATATGTTCTGAGAAAATCAGAGAGAGGAGCTGAGGGAAGTCTCGGGGGGGGGGGAGGGAAGGTTTGAAGGGGGGAAAGGGGGAGAATAATGAATATTATATGTTTTGATAATCTCTTATGCTGAAATTGTTAATAAAAACATATTTTTTTTTTAAAAAAAGACATTGCCAGTAAGGCCCAACCACACACTGTTGGCATGGAGGGCACATTTTGCTTCTACTTTATTCTCAAGTGCAACACATAAGTTCTCCGAGCAGAGTGAAGGACATGATTATATAGCAGAAAATAAAGGGAGCCACATATGTAGAATAGAAAGTAAAGAGGCACACTCTGACATCAGTGTGGTGGTGGTTAAACATATTCTCTGCTCCCTAGTAACCCTGCCCCCTTGGAATCCTGACCATTGAGTATACCCTGTAATTCTAGTCTGAAGCTATTTGCAGAGCACTTATTGGCTTCAGTTTCTTAATCACACTTGAGCTCTTTTCAGGCATTCATCTCTCATGCTCTTAGACTCATGTGAGAGGAAACACAGGGCCACAATCTCTGGCCTAGCCCCCTCCAACCATGCCCCTGTTTCTCCATTTGAGGATGCAGTCAAAAGTGGGGAGCCTGCTGTATATGTGTAAACCCCCCCGCCGCCGCCCAATTTAGGGATTGGCCCAGGTGCATATGGGCAAAATGGAGGAAGAAAAGTCAGAGACTATTATCTGAAGATATGTAAGCCTTCAGACATTATAGAAAACCAAGAGAAAACGATGAATGGCTTGGATTTCCTCTTCCTACCTTGATGCTCTAATATCAGTAAAGAAGTCATAAATCTCCTAACCCTCTGGTGAGAAATATGAGCTGTTTCAGTTTCTCAGGTTTTCTGTTGAATGAAGTACAAACATTTCTCTTTGGAAATGTTTGGAAGTGCAAAACAGGAAGTGGAATCCCTCCCACTTCCTGCCTCACCCTCCTTTTTCTTTTTTTTAACATTCAAAGCTGCTTTGAGGTTGGAAGCACACAAGAAAGTCCCTCACATAAAATTATTGTAAAGCAGAAAATGTCTGAAAATGCCACTGGGAAAACTGAATTTTCAAGAAACCAAACCAAAAGGACAATAAAACCCAACCTCCACAACAATAAAAGGCAATATAATAGAATGTTAAAGCCTATTAAAACAAACCATAATTTAGGAAACGTAACCTATAAATATTTTAAAATAACTATGTACTGAAACCCAGTACAGCCATCCACACTGGGGGAGGGGGGGATGGTTAAAAATGATATGCCAATACTCATATTTTGATAGAAGTGCTATGGGTGCCAGCACAAAATGTATTCCATGGGTAGCAGAAAAAAGAGAGAGGTGATGGTACTCCGTATCGGTGAATAGTTACACAAAAAACACTGTAGCCAAGCAAAATCACCAATAATTCCTATTAACTACTGGAGACTCTGGTGCAAATCTGGTTCAAGAGCACAGAAACATCAGACATTGTCTTGGAAACTCTTCTTTACTGCCATTACTACAAATGCACAGAACAATTTTCGTATCCCTCCACATTTCCATTGATTACACCACATTGAAACAGTGGGCCTCACTCTCACGACATTTTCTGTATTTTCCCTTCCACTTTTACCTCAAATCTTTTCTCCTGTTTAGATCCTTTACTAGTTGTCCACTTCTCTGTTACCTCCCATTGTCACTGTCAAAGGCCAAAGCTGGTAACCTTATCCTCTGTCTCTCGGGATGTGGGGTGACTTCACTATTTGTGTCATAACTGCTGAGATGGATGACATCATAGTGCACAGTGACAACAACTGACATGCATTAGCACATTAAGTGTTGTAACCAAAGGGCACTGCTGCTAGGTTATCACTGCCCAGACTGCTCCTTCTGAGAAACTTACCCCTTCTTGCTCGCTGCTGCTGGTGGCGGTGGTTACATGATGTCTCCAACTTCCTTCAAATCCCACAACATTGTGCTGTACAGTGGTGCCTCGCAAGACGAAATTAATCCGTTCCGCGAGTCTCTTCGTCTTGCGGTTTTTTCGTCTTGTGAAGCACGGCTATTAGCAGCTTAGCGGCTTAGCGGCTTAGCGGCTATTAGCGGCTTAGCGGCTATTAACGGCTTAGCAGCTTAGTGGCTTTAAGAAAAAGGAAACAAACTCGCAAGAACTTGCAAGACATTTCGTCTTGCGAAGCAAGCCCATAGGGAAATTCGTCTTGCGGAACGAATCAAAAAACGGAAAACTTTCGTCTAGCGAGTTTTTCGTCTTGCGAGGCATTCGTCTTGCGGGGCACCACTGTAGATGAATGCGCTTTTCTGTCTTAGGCTTGCAGGCAAAGAGCCAGTCAGAAGCTGCAACAATGCTACTCTCCTTGGCTTACTAACTGGCTTTTTATTCAGTGTTTTGAAAACATGTTTACTTTTTCAATACCAGAAAAGAAACATCGTATAATTAAATGTCATTTTCGTTACTGACAATTTCTGGCATGTTTGTCCCTGTTCAAGTTACACCCAGTGCAGGTGCCCTAATCTAAACAGAGATGTGATTACAAGTTTACATTGGCATGCCAAACACTTGTATTGTACTGGCTGGTGCATCACTTGCAGAGCACTAAGTAAGTTTTAAGCTAGCTCGGCTGAAGCTGGAGTCATCTGACAAATTTCAGAAGGAACTGGGAAACAGTGGGTTCCAGGGAGCTGGGTCTAGACAGCAAGCTTTTGCAGGAAGAGATCCAAGCAGGGCAGGAGCTACTTTGACAGTGTTCGGAGGTGAGCCCTTAAATAGCAAACCAGGCCCCAGTCTTACCCCATACCCAAGAACCGGCAGGAATTAAAAGGGATGGTGTCTGGAATCAGCGCCTTGGAAAAGAGCATTATTTGGTGCTGACAAAGTTTCCTCAGGGTCTGAATCTTGATTCAGAATAAATTAGGCTTCATGCCTGCTAAATTGCAGAAATATAGGTCTGGGGGTTTTGCACTAATAATTTATTTGCAGGATTGCATGAAATTTGCAGACATGTCAGCTCCTTTTAAAGGGATGGATCCTGGCAGATTTCAGAAGGACAGATACAGTGTATTTCCTAAACAAAAATCACCCACAAACTTTTACAACTTTGGCTCATTTATATATTCATAAAATTTATAAACCATCCTTCATCCGTAGATCTCAGGGTGGATCACAAACAAACCCTAGATAAAAACACAAAAAGATTCACTTATTCTTACCTCTTGTTTTGTGGGCAATTTGTATGAAAACAGCAAACAAGAGAGAGGTATCCCTAGGTGAGAAACCTGCTAAACTGAGGACAAATATGTGCACAGGTCTTCTGTGGCAGGCCTCCTTTAAAGTTAATTTTGTAGTGGGGGATTAAAAGGGATTTCCTTTCCTCCCAACGATTTTGTGGTCCATAACTTTATTACCAAAATGACGCCTATCATTAAGATGTCCAACAGGAAAATAAGCTGCAAAAATTAAGAAGAATGGGTGGGTGGCTATTAGGTAATGATGAATGCTTTAAAAACAAACAAACAAACAAACAAACAAACAAACAAACAAACAAACTAGTTTTAGGCTTGTATTCTGCTCAACTGCCACCCAAAGTCACAGAAACTTAAATGCACAGCTGATTTGACAGGGAGTGGGTGTGTGGGCATGTGACAGAGACAGAAGAACTTGAGCTATTGCGTTTTCCAAACCAATCTCCACTAGCAGAAACAGCAAAGAACCAAGAACAGGCTAGGAGGAGGTGATGCATCACTTCAACATCACTTCCCTAAAGCACTGTGATTGGAGATCCCTTGTAATAAGCATCCCCTCTGATTAAAAGTCAGACCTGTCAATCGCAGGAGAGCTCTCCCTCCTTGATCTCCCCACGCTGGCAGTTACCTGATACTGGGATAAGTGTTTTAGTTATTTTCAGACACAATGCCTGCATCTTTTTACCATCCGAATCTGCCCTGAATCTGCTCTGAAGCAGATCCAAAGTGCCCTGAAAATGCAGCAAAGGTCCATGCTTCAACCCTGAATTTATTCATGGTAGCTTTAGGATTTGTGATATGTCCAAATCTGATGCACACGTGTGTGTGTGTGTGTGTTTTGTTTTGGAGCAGTGGAATGTGTTGCAACATTTAGAGAAGTGGGAGATCCAATGTATTACTGCGTTCCAATCCACACATCTGTATGTGAGGATTGCAGATCAGGTCAGCTGGGCATTCCGTACTACTGAGCCTTCTTTGTAGAACACACCTCTGCCTCGGATTCCATGCAACTGTGAGATGACACTGTTTGAAGGGAAATTATTTTTCCTATCTCTTTAATTTTCACTTGAGGCCCACCCGAGAGACTGTGCAGGGAGCGGATTACAGTTTCAGTGACTTGCTTTGTAAATTTAATTCCTTATTCCTCGGTTCAGTATCCCTTCTGAAATGTGATGTCATTGCCCTTTGTGTCAGGGAGGTTAATTTCAGATACACCGCACATCCCCAAAGTGCCGCATGAAACAAAAAAACAGAAACATTTGCTTAGCTGTGTTAAATGTCCTCATTATACAGAGGCATGGAAACAGGCCATCAGCCCTGTTCCAATTACCAGCCAACCATTCCATCCATCTGCAGAAAGGTAGATATTATAACACTTGAAAAGGTGCAGAGAAAAGTGACTCGTAAGTTGATCCCAGGAGCAAAAGACATGATGGTAAAGACAGCCTACATTTGTTAATCTGTATAATCTGAAGAAAAAGAAGGGATTAGGAGGAGCATTAATTGAAACATACCTGATTTTTAACATCTTGATATTATTGGCCAAATAATGAAAGTGGGAATAATTCCCACATCTAATGCTAGAATTTGCGAGCCTTTGAAGAATAACCGCTCAAGTGCCGTTCTAGGCAGAAGGTTCTTGCTGAAACAGAGAACTGAGCGTTTTGCCAGGCAAGGGTGCTGGATCACAGGCAACCCAGAAAATCAGCAAAGTGGGTAGCTGGAACCAGGGGCTGAGCAGATGTCATGGACTGGCTGGATGCAGAAGAGTGGCAGGAGGCACCAGCTGGGGAAACCCCAACAGAAGAAGGCTTAGAGCTGGCGGATCAGAGGTGGGACAACGGTGAGTGGTCAGAGGGATAAGAGGGATAAGCCTTGGAGGAGGAGGTGTTGGAAGCTGAAAAGGTAACAGGGTTTAGTGAGCAGGAAGTGGCTGTGGCAGAGAGCAGTTCAGAATCAGAGGCTGGAGAGGAGTGGGGTCAAGAGGCAGACATGAGTCAAGCTGCTGAAGAAGCCAGGAAGTCTTCCTCTCCTGCTGTGACCAACTCCTGTCCCCCCTGCTCCCGTCTCCCAGAATCAGACACAGTATGAAGAGGGCAGAGCAAAAACAGACAAGATGTTTGAGTCTCATTTTGTTTGGGAAGGACCCATGAGAGGAGGAGGCCTAGAGAGCTGTGGGAATGTGGGGACCTTCAGTCCTCACAACTTCCTCATTGCGGCAAGATCTACTGGGAAGCGTTGCTGTGCTTACTAGGCTGGAGCTGTTTTGTTTCTTTGAATAAAGAATCAACTTCACTGAAGCATGTGAGTTATTGCTGACCTGCTCCCTGGCAGCAGAATAGGAACTCATGAGTGGCAAATGTAGTAAAGGTTGACTGTTGGGCGGGCAAAGCTGGTCCTAGAAACCTTTATGGTGCTACTGAGTCAGGGGAAATAAGTGGGATACATCAGCACTTACTCTCCAGATGTTCTGGACCACAACTACCATTAGCAAAACACAAAATATCTGGAGGTGCCAGTTTAGCCAAGTGTAGATCAAGGGGAGACTGGGTCTAGCCCCAATGAAAAGGATGGTGCCATTGAAGAGACATTGACCACCATTTTGTGGGAGACGATGGCCTGAAGAAACAAGTATCAGTGGGCCACCATGTTTTCCTTCTATACTTGATCTTCATCATAATATGGCCTTTCATTAAACATTGCATCTCTCCATTAGTTTGTAATTGCTGTGCTTGCCATACAAGTTATGCATTATTGGATTCAAATTTAGAGTTCCCCCCTCCCATGGCTCTGAACAAATTGCAGACAATTGCAGGACCTAGAATAATTGCAAAAGTAATCCTAAAGGATCAGGCAGAAAATGAGCTAGGGTTGCCATATTTCAAAAAGTGAAAATCTGGACATAAAACTTTTTGACTTTTTTGGTAAGAAGTTTGGGACCTATGGGGTCACCCAAAAATCAACACTTCCGGAGATTTTCCTGGACATTTTAACTGTTTCCTGAAAATTCCTCCCTATTTTTGTCAGTTGAATCCTAGATATGTCTGGGAAATTCCAGGTGTATGGCAGCCCTATATGAGCACTATCTAGAGATGTTATGTCCCCTGCATTGCATAGACTCCCAAGGAGGTATGTGATATTGTCATGATGGTAATTTGAAGCTAGAGGTTTACTTTATGCAAGTCTCTCAGTGACGCTAAAGAAAACGCGGCAGTGGACATCAGTGGAGGTTGTGGCCGCTGCTAATTAATCTTCATTGTGTCCAATGTTATCCTCAATAAAGGCACATTACTTGAAATGGTTTTGTTTAATGACACTGACTTGAGAATATGACTGATAAACACAAGGAAAATCCTTCCTGCATAATGCCGTGTTCTGAATTATTTAAAAGGTGGAATAGCTTTGGAGCATGGGAGCCGTGTGAGATATTCTTCGCCATCTGTGCATAACAAGATGTCGGCACACAAAAGAGGGATCTGAAATATCCGGAAGACCTCATACATTAAGAAGCCTCCTGCAATGCTGAGGTCTTAAAATAAACTCTAGTCCCAGTTCATATAAAGGGTGTGTTCACATTAGAGCACAGTGAAGTTGTTCTCCTCCTGCATTTCAACAACTCTACGTGGGGCTGCCCCTGAAACTGACCCAGAAACTCCAGCGGGTGCAGAATGCCGCGGCGAGACTCCTCACGGGGTCCTCGTCACCGGAGCACATTCATCTGGTGCTATACCAGCTGCACTGGCTCCTGGTGTACAGGAACAGATTTAAGGTGCTGATTTTAACCTTTAAAGCCCTATACGGCCTAAGACCCTCGTACCTACGGGACCGCCTCTCCTGGTATGCCCCACGGAGGACCTTAAGGTCTGCAAATAATAACACCCTGAAGATCCCCAGCCCCAGGGAGATTAGACTGGCCTCGACCAGAACCAGGGCCTTTTCGGCCGTGGCCCCTGCCTGGTGGAATGCTCTCTCACAAGAGACTAGGGCCCTGTGGGATTTGACATCTTTCTGCACGGCCTGCAAGACAGAGCTGTTCCGCCAGGCCTTTGGTTGGGGTTCGGTCTGATTCTTTTCTTTCTGTATAAGAACAAGCATTAAAGAGGCCTCCTAGCCCGCTCACAGGTCCTTTATAAGACCAGTGATAACAATTGGCCCTGGAGAATATTAACCACTCTCAGTTTTACCCATGGACTGCCATCTGTCCAGATTTCAATTTGCTCTGAATTAATTTTAAGATGTATTTTAACTAATTGATTGCCTGTTTTTATGTTTTTATGTTCTTTGTATACTGTCTTAGTTTCATGATGTTAGCTGCCCTGAGCCCAGCTCCAGCTGGGGAGGGCAGGGTACAAAATTATTATTATTATTATTATTATTATTATTATTATTATTATTATTATTACGTGGCTTCGATTCCTTAACTGTTTGTGCACACACCCATGGATGGGGCAGAGATGTCATTACACCATGGCAAGAGAAGAATTGGGAACGGCTTAAAGACCCCAGCTGGTGTGACACCAGTTTGAGAAACAACACATCAAACAGTAGTTTCTTATAATGGGGTATATGGGACACAGATGCATTTTGGATAGCAGTGGAAAGGCAGTGAGGGCCCAGTAAATGGGAGGGACAGACATAGGCATATGGGGAAAAAATGGGTGTGCAAACTGTCCCCCTGGGTATGCACCCTGCCACCTGCATAGTTGCTGCATAGAGCAAATGGGAACCCTGTTAAATGTTTCCAGTCCAACATCATGCTGCATTCACTTTATGTCGGGACGTATGGCAGGTTATTTTTGTTGTGTTTATCCATGGGTAAAGCAGATGCAGACTTTTGAGAGTCCCATGGACTGCAAGAAGATCAGACCTATCCATTCTTAAGGAAATCAGCCCTGAGTGCTCACTGGAAGGACAGATCCTGAAGCCGAGACTCCAATACTTTGGCCACCTCAGGAGAAGAGAAAACTCCCTGGAAAAGACCCTGATGTTGGGAAAGATGGAGGGCACAAGGAGAAGGGGAGGACAGGGACGAGATGGTTGGATAGTGTTCTTGAAGCTACCAGCATGAGTTTGACCAAACTGTGGGAAGCAGTGGAAGACAGAAGTGCCTGGCGTGCTCTGGTCTAAGGGGTCACGAAGAGTCGGACACGACTAAACAACAACAAGGGTCATCTTACTGGAGCAATATATTCTTACAAAATCCTGTTCAGCATCCTGGAGCAATATATTCTTACAAAATCCTCTTCGCGAAGCTACCAGCATGAGTTTGACCAAACTGCGGGTCGCAGTGGAAGACAGGAGTGCCTGGCGTGCTCTGGTCTAAGGGGTCATGAAGAGTTGGACACGACTAAACAACTAAACAACAACAACAACAACCACAAAGCAGATGCTTGTGCATCTGTACAGAAGACAGGTATAAGAACTCAGAATGAAACCTCACCTTTGCGTGATTCTATTTATTTATTTCATTTCTATGCCCCCTTTTTCCTCTAAAGAGCTAAAATATGGCATACACGGTTCCTTGTTCCCCGCTCATTTAATCCCGACCACAACCCTGTGAAGTAGGCTTAGGCTGAGAGGCAGTGATTGGCCCCCAAGGTCACCCAATGAGTTTCAGGACCAAGTCAGGGCTGGATTCAAACCGTGGTCTCCCAGGTCCGAGCCCAACACTCTAACCAACTACTCCACGCTGGGAGAATTGCAAGCGGAACTCCGAACGCCTCCATATCTGCTGAGACGACTTCTTTGCGTCCCTTCGCACCCTGATACCTCCTTGAAGAAAACACCCATCTGCGTCCTGAGGCGCATTTGTTTAACACCAGCCATCTGATCTTGTTCTTCTCTTCCTCCTCCTCCTCTTCTTTTTTTTTAAAAAAAAGAAGCCACCAACAAAAACCTGACCCCTTTACACACACACGCACAATACAGTCACTCATGCATTTGCAGCCGTAAACCTCCCAAAGGTCGTTTCCATGACAACCCAGGGTCCTTAATGACCCTGACAGTTCAATGATTTTGTTTTGTTTGAGAGGGAAGGAATAATAAGTCTTCTGTCTCCCCCACTGCCGTTCCCCACCTCCAGTCATCCCCCTCCACTACACACCCGATGCTGCTGTTCATTATCTGATTCTGGGATCAGCCCTGGAGACAGAACAGCAGCAGCAGCAGCAGCAGCAAGCAAAGGTAGTGGAGGCAGCAGTGGCGGCCAGCTCTGAAAGACAAGAGCTTTGCCGCAGACAAAGAACAGTAAAGGAGCCGGGCGTGCTCAGCATACAGTCACTGCGGCGGCCTCATTAATTCCATCACTAGCCCAATGAGTTTAAGCATGCGCCAGGGGTATTGCGATGGTTTGTAGCAATATGTTGCATAAGTGAGCCCCAAATCGCTGCGCAGTTATTTAGAAAGTACATCTCGCATACCACTAACAGGGATGCTTTTTATTAATGATGTGTACCAGAAATGCTGCAAAGACGCTGGCCGCTCCTCTGCAGCAAGGCCTATAATTTTAATGATGTGATGAATAAGGCAATTAATGTACTTCACTCTATTTCCCACATGCATCATATTTAACGTCGGAAAGCTAAAGAGATTTCTGAGAGGAGGAGCGGAGGGGGTGGGGAGCGCATTGTTAAGCCGAAGCGTTCCCTGCTTCCGAATGCAGACCGCCTGCATCTGCGGCCGTGGAAGTGGTGTTCCTTGTTCTCCAGCTCGAAACTGGCTAGAGGCACCTGTGTGGAGTTGCTCCTTGTGTTAATATATAGGGCTGTCAACCGATTAAAGAATGTTTAGTTGATTAATTATCTGCCTTTCAGCCAGATAATTGATTACATTTAAAGACATTTGCATCTCGCCAAAACACAGGTGTCATTTTTTTTTAATGGAAGGACACATGCAATGTGATTTGCAAATGTAATAATTAAAAGCTACCACCCATTGTTAGATGGAAAGGACACCATTTATTGTGTCTCTCCCCCCCCCCATTCTAGAATACAATAACTAACATATCAAAACCAAAATAATCTAAGCTCTCTCTCTCTCTCTCTCTCTCTCTCTCTCCCCTAAACAAAAACAAAAACAGGTTTGATCTTAACTTTCAGCTTCACATTGTGAAGTTTGTCATCTCTGGTTAAAGCCACTAATTAATCAACTAAAGCTTAAGTTGATTAATCTGCCAGTTAAAAGTCTTGCAATCCTGATAAACCTATGGACTAGTAAGAAAACGACCTCTTATAGACTCTAAACAATTCTGTATTTTATCCTAGCATACAATGACATTAAAGACCCACCCTTCCCAAAGATAAAGATAACATATTATTGTTTCATTAATGTACTTCACGTGTGTACCAAATGGTGGTAGCAAACATTATACTGTATATGCTATTCTCTATCTATACCTCTGCAACCCCTCTCTTGGATGCTTTTCCCAGATGTGTATGTCTGTGATGTCAGGGAAAGTGGAAGGGATGGTGGAAAAAGTTCAAGCATCTGTCCAGTAATGCTTTGTGGCTACTTAGTGGTAACCACAGTTCTCAGAACCGCTGGATGTCTAGACCTGCTCAAAAACCCATGGTGGCAAGTCCTCTTTGTGGACTGTTGCCTACACTGGTCTCTTGGAATCGGAGGATCTTGAAAAGTTGTCCTTGTAACACCATCACAAGAAAAACCCATCATACCACTTCCGGGTTAGCGCCATCGGCAATGGCTGAATTCCTCTGACCGGGAGGAATTTGCCCCGTGGAAAATAGGGTCTGGCCACTACGGCGAAGGCAGAGACCCGAAAAAAATCACAGGCGGGAGAAGCCTGTGAACGTGGGATTCGGCGGGCACCTTTTGCACCTCCCCTACTCGCGAGGAAACCCAATTTCGGGGTTCCGGAGCGACGTGGGGTGAGTGGTGCGGTGCTTCGAGTCGTCTGCTTTTTTCACTGAGCGAAGCCGCATAGCTGTTGCCGGAGAGCACTGACTTTTTCCTGTGGACAATTTCATAGAATCATAGAATCATAGAATCATAGAGTTGGAAGAGACCACAAGGGCCATCGAGTCCAACCCCCTGCCAAGCAGGAAACACCATCAGAGCACTCCTGACATATGGTTGTCAAGCCTCTGCTTAAAGACCTCCAAAGAAGGAGACTCCACCACACTCCTTGGCAGCAAATTCCACTGTCGAACAGCTCTTACTGTCAGGAAGTTCTTCCTAATGTTTAGGTGGAATCTTCTTTCTTGTAGTTTGGATCCATTGCTCCGTGTCCGCTTCTCTGGAGCAGCAGAAAACAACCTTTCTCCCTCCTCTATATGACATCCTTTTATATATTTGAACATGGCTATCATATCACCCCTTAACCTCCTCTTCTCCAGGCTAAACATGCCCAGCTCTCTTAGCCGTTCCTCATAAGGCATCATTTCCATGCCTTTGACCATTTTGGTTGCCCTCCTCTGGACATGTTCCAGTTTGTCAGTGTCCTTCTTGAACTGTGGTGCCCAGAACTGGACACGGTACTCCAGGTGAGGTCTGACCAGAGCAGAATACAGTGGCACTATTACTTCCCTTGATCTAGATGCTATACTCCTATTGATGCAGCCCAGAATTGCATTGGCTTTTTTAGCTGCTACGTCACACTGTTGGCTCATGTCAAGTCTGTGGTCAACCAAGACTCCTAGATCCTTTTCACATGTACTGCTCTCAAGCCAGGTGTCACCCATCTTGTATTTGTGCCTCTCATTTTTTTTTGCCCAAGTGCAATACTTTACATTTCTCCCTGTTAAAATTCATCTTGTTTGTTTTTGCCCAGTTCTCTAATTTGTCAAGGTCATTTTGAAGTGTGATCCTGTCCTCTGGGGTGTTAGCCACCCCTCCCAGTTTGGTGTCATCTGCAAATTTGATCAGGATGCCCTTGAGTCCATCATCCAAGTCGTTGATAAAGATGTTGAATAAGACCGGGCCCAAGACAGAACCCTGTGGCACCCCACTAGTCACTCTTCTCCAGGATGAAGAGGAACCATTGATGAGCACCCTTTGGGTTCGGTCAGTCAGCCAGTTACAAATCCACTGAGTGGTAGCATAGTCAAGACCGCATTTTACCAGCTTCTTTACAAGAATATCATGGGGCAATTTGAATCTAAAGTGATTACCCGTGAGTAGAGCTGGAACGGGAGAATTAGATTTTTAAACGTATAATTTGGTATCGAAGCGGGGAGGTTCAAAACAGGAAGTCCGCCTCCCCTTTTTGTAAATAGACTGAAGCAAAAAGGCTGTAAGCTGAAGCCTTGGAAAGCCCTTTGTAAAAGACTAAAATTTCAACGGTAAAGAACATTTAATCCCCCCTCGGGGGCAGGAGAAGAGGGGGGAAGTTGTGGACTGAGTAGACCTGCAGGAGAGAGTGAAGAGAGTCAGAATATTGCCGCTCTGACCCTGGAAACGGGCTGCTAGCTGGATTGACCTCTTTTGGAATGTCCATTGACAGCGTACAGAACGTTCACTGACAGCTAGCTAAGTAAGACAAATACATTGTTTCTACATTGCTTCTACAGTCTCTGGTTGTTTCTAAAAAGGAACAAATAGTAACAGAAAACTGAAACTAACTTTGGATGTTTGAATTGTGTTTAAAAGAGGACATTATTTATTAAAATAAGTAACATAAATTGAAACTGTTTCCCCCTAGTGGAAGTTTTTGAAACTGGTTGTTCTACAAGAGTTCTACAAGTGTGGAGCTAGGGGAATTTCCAGCTGTAAGATAAGAACTGTGTGACTCTGGGACTGACCTTGAATTGTTTAAGTGTTATGGCAAATGGAAAGGAAAAAATAGATTTGCCAACTGCTGAAAAAACGTTAAGGTCTGGGACGATTAGGCAGCAACCTAGGAGAAGTTCAATACCAGATCCCCTTCCTCCGGCTGCTGCTGTGTCTATATCAGCACAACCAAAATCAAAGGGAATGCTATCAGAAGAGGTATTAGCGGTTGCGTTAAGTAAGATAAATGACTCATTGGAACATGGACAAGAATTGACCAAATCTGGGTAACCAGGGGACTGGCTCCGAAGATTAGCAAAGTGGAGATCTGCCCCAAAACTTGTTCGGACCATAATGCAGTGAAGATGGAAGATGAAATTAATGCCAAGTGGCTCCTTCAGATGGAGGATGAATGACACCTTGTTTAGGAATGAAGAGGTGACCAAGAAGGCCCAAAAAACTCTAAGAGATTATTTTGACATAAACATGAGCACTACAGTGGAAAAAAGAGTAATTTGGGATGCAAGCAAAGCGGTTATGAGAGGATTCCTAATACAGCAGAATGCAATTAAGAAGAGAACTCAGAATGAAAAAAAGGATAAAATCCTGGGAAAGATAGGGGAAGGAGAGAAGAAACTGAGAGCAAAACCAAAGTCACAGGAGATTCTGAAAGAGATAAAGTTATACCAGGTACAATATGCGAAGCTGATGAATCAGGAAATAGAATGGAAGATTAAACAGATGAGGCAAAAGACATTTGAATCGACAAATAAATGTGGGAAATTGTTGGCCTGGCAAATGAAAAAAAGACAAAAACTTAATACTATCACGAATTTGGAAGTGGAAGGAAAAAATATACAGAACCCAGTGGAGATTAGGAAGTGTTTCCAGAGGTATTTCAAACAACTCTACACACAGGAGAAGCAGAAAGAAATGGACATTGATCGATTCTTGAAAATAAATATCGACTTCCGGGGTGGCGCCATCGGTGATGGCGGACTCCCTCTGATCTGGAGGGACCAACTCCACGGGAAACGGGTCTTTCCCGCTACGGCGAAGCGGGGACCCTTTCAAAAATCACAGGCGGATGAAGCCTGTGACCATAGGACTCGGCGGGCACGTTTAGCGCCCCCCAACCCACAAAGGAACCCACTAACGGGCTCCGGAGTGAAGAGGGGGAAGTGGCGCGGTGCTGAGAGTCAACTGCTTCTTCCGTGGAGCGAAGCCGCACAGCCGTTGCCGGAGAGCGCTGCCTTTTTCCTGGGACAATTTGGCTTTTAAAACAATTACCCGTGAGTACTTAAATTTCGGACAATTGGACTTCAAATAATGATTTGCAAGTAGAAAGGAAAATTGGACTAAGAAATTTACCTCAGTTTGGCACTGAAACGGGAAGGTCTAAACAGGAAGTCAGCCTTCCGTTTCTTGTAGATAGATTAAAGCAAAGACATGGCAAACTAGAGTTCAGAAAATCGCCTGTAAAGGATTAACTTTCATCATTCAAAATTGTTGAACCCCCTTCGGAAGCAGGAGAAGAGGGGGGATTTTTTCCAGGCTGTTTAAACCTGCAGAAGAGAGTGTAACGCAAAGTAAACTTCCACCGTCTTGATCCTGGAGCGGGGTGTCAGGACTGACGTTTTTTGGGAAGCTCATTGACCAGAGACAAACGTCTTTGACAGATAGTTAAAGAAGAGAAACATAGTGATTCCATTGTTCCCCTTCGCATTTTAAAGGAACAAATATTGACAAAATATCTGAAAAAGGAAACTTTGTTGTTAGATCTGCCTTTGAAAGAAAAGAACAAATAGAAGCTCTTCCCCTAGAGGGAGCCTGTGAAACTGTTACCAATTCTGAACCGGGGAGCTTGCAGCTGCAATAGATTACGATCGTGGGAATAGACTTCTGACCTTGCAGAACAATATACTCAGAAGCTCTGCTGCGTGCTTTCTGTAAAACAAGTGCCCTACTGGAACAGCTACATGAGAAGACGGACTTGATGACTGTTGCGATCAGAAATTTTGGACAGGTAGTGGGAAACTATATAGAGCCCACCCAGGAATCAAATCAGGAGTGTGCTCTGACAGAACAGATGAGGGAAGAGGATGCTGCTGAACCTTGGGCGCCAGAGATGGAGGGAGCTGTGGCCCAGCAGGAACATGAGTTCTTGGATTTGACAAATGAACTTGGAAAAAGCCAGATTTGGAAAGATAAAGTTTGGTTTGGTTTGGAAATGGGGGGTTGGATAGGACCCCCCCCCCCATGCAGGGATGTTTGGACTTTTCAAGTCTGGCAATGGGCCGTGAGATGTTTGGGGTTGTGGGGGCTCTTAATTCTGGAGGGACTTTGAAACATGTTTTTAAATACCCCATGGAGTTTAGTGTGGACTATGGAAAAGGGCTGATTTGTCGAGAAGGGTCAAAAACACTGTTAAGTTGGAGTTCCCACGAGTGAAAGGAGCAGGAGACAAAGTAAAGTACAGGTATAAATATGAAGAAGAACTGCGGATGGGACATGGAAGGGACTTAAGGGCCTCGGACATAAGATTACCAGGTTAATGCGCTAGATTGATGGGATAGAAAGGACTGACAAAACCCGGGACCAGGAGGAAGAGACGCTGGATGAAGATTGGAAGAAAAAATTTTTTTTATTAGGATTGTTTTATAAAATTGATGAACGTTAGAAAAATGATGGAATGAAATTATTTGGCTTTAGCAAAAATGTTTAAAGAATTATGTAAGAATATTATGGTTAGGAGAAATTGGTATAAATAAGATCTAAGTTTTAAGTTTTAAGGTCTTTTATAGTAAGATAAGATTAAAATAGATTAAGGTAATGTAATGACAGAATATTATGAAATATGGAAAGGATTTGCTGTGACAATTAACAACTAGGATACAAAAAAAGGGAGGAGTGAGGAGGTCAAAGAAAGAAGGTAATGACAGTTAAGGATTTGAGAATATTGGATTTGTTTTTAAATGTTTGTGGCATATTTTTGTCTTTTGATTGTGTCATGTTATTTTTTGATTTTGATTTTTATCAATTTGTATTGTTCGATCGTGGTTTGTTTTTCTTTTGTTTTTTTCTCTCTCTTCTTCTTTTTTGTTTTTCTTTTTGTAATTCTAAAATTCTTAATAAATATCATTAAAAAAAAAAAGAAAATAAATGGACTACACAAAATCTCACAGGAAAAACAACTAATGTTGAACTACAAAATAACGGACCAGGAGGTGGAAGGGGCTATCCAGAACATGCACTTAGGTAAATCTCCAGGACCAGATGGTTTGACTTCAAGATACTACAGATCTTTGAAAGATTGGTTAATACAACCATTGAAGGAAGTCTGTAATGAAATATTGGAAGGAAGGAAGGCACCAGAGTCGTGGAAGGAAGCTTACATTACACTTATACCTTAAAACAGAGACTGAAAAGACACAGCTCAAAAACTACCGCCCCGTATCGCTGCTAAATGTGGATTATAAAATTTTTGCAGACATTTTGGCCAAAAGATTAAAAAAGGTGTTAGTAGAAGAAATTCATAAAGATCAAGCAGGCTTTCTCCCGGGCAGACATTTGTCTGACAATATGAGGAATATAATTAATATTTTAGGAAAACTTCAAGTGAATATTAATACTAAGGCGGTCTTGATATTTGTGGATGCGGAGAAAGCCTTTGACAACATTTCTTGGAGTTTTATGAAGAAGAATCTACAGGGGATGGGGGTAGGCCAAGGTTTTGAAAATGGTATAGGTGCAATTTACTCAGAACAAAAGGCAAAATTAATTGTGAATAATGTAGTGACAGAAGAGTTTAAGATTGAGAAAGGGACACGACAAGGTTGCCCAATTTCTCCACTGCTTTTTATATCGGTCCTTGAGGTTTTGTTAAACATGATAAGAAAGGACCAAGAGATCAAAGGTATACAAGTGGGAGTTAAAAAGTATAAACTGAAAGCATTTGCTGATGATCTAGTACTGACCCTACTGGAACCAGAATCTAGTACAAAAAGGGTATTGGAACTGATTCAAGAATTTGGGCAAGTAGCAGGTTTTAAGCTGAATAAGATGAAAACTAAGGTTTTAGAGAAAAATTTAACTGTAAAGGAGAGAGAGAAATTTTAGGAAGAGACAGGACTAACATTGGTTAAGAAAGTGAAATATTTAGGGGTTAATATGACTGCTAAAAATGTAAATCTATTTAAGGATAATTATGAAAAATGTTGGATTGAAGTGAAAAAGGACTTAGAAATATGGTCAAATTTGAAGTTATCATTGTTAGGCTGAATTGCTGTGATAAAAATGAATGTGCTGCCAAGGATGTTGTTCTTATTTCAAACATTACAAATTTTGGATAAGATGGATTGTTTCAAGAAGTGGCAGAAAGATATTTCCAGATTTGTTTGGCAGGGCAAGAAGCCTCGAATAAAATTTAAGATATTAACTGATGCTAAAGAAAGAGGTGGATTTGCCCTGCCAGACCTAAAACTCTATTATGAATCAGCTGCTTTTTGTTGGCTGAGGGAATGGCTGCTACTTGAAAACACTGATGTGTTGGACCTAGAAGGGTTTATTAATGTATTTGGTTGGCATGCATATTTGTGGTACGATAAGGTAAAAGCACATAAAGCGTTTAAAAATCATATTGTCAGAAAAGCATTGTTTAATGTATGGATAAGATATAAAGATTTGTTAGAAAAGAAAACCCCAAGATGGTTGTCACCAATAGAAGCGAAGGCACAGAAAAAACTCAATATGGAGGCCAAATGGCTAAAATATTGGGAAATTCTGGACCAAGAGGGAGACAGACTAAAATTGCAGAGCTTTGAAAAACTGAAAAACAAAGTGCGAGAGTGGCTCCATTATTATCAAATAATGGAGGCATATAATTTGGACAAAAAAGTTGGTTTCCAGGTGGAAAAATCAAAATTGGAAACAGAATTGTTAGATTCCAAAATTAAGAATTTGTCAAAAATGTATAACTTGCTGTTGAAATGGAACACTCAGGATGAAACGGTGAAATCAGCTATGATTAAATGGGCACAAGATGTTGGACATAATATAATGATGGCTGACTGGGAACAGTTATGGACCACAGGTATGAAATTTACGGCATGTAATGCCCTAAGAGAAAACTTAATGAAAATGATTTATAGGTGGTACATGACACCAGTCAAGCTTGCAAAAATTTACCATTTGCCTGACAATAAATGTTGGAAATGTAATGAGACTGAAGGCACATTCTTTCACCTTTGGTGGACATGCCCAAGGATTAAGACATTCTGGGAGATGATTTATAATGAAATGAAAAAGGTATTTAAATATACCTTCTTGAAGAAACCAGAGGCCTTTCTCCTGGGCATGGTCGGCCAAATGGTGCCAAAGAAGGATAGAACCTTTTTTATGTACGCAACAACAGCAGCAAGAATACTCATCGTGAAGTATTGGAAGACACAAGATTTGCCCACCCGGGAAGAATGGCAGATGAAGTTGATGGACTACATGGAACTGGCGGAAATGACTGGCAGAATCCGAGACCAGGGAGAGGAGTTGGTGGAAGAAGACTGGAAAAAGTTTAAAGACTATCTACAGAAATATTGTAAAATTCATGAATGTTAGAAAAATGTTGAAATGAAGTTATATGGCTTTAGCAGAAATATTATAAGGAATTAAGTACAGATAGGTTAATAGAGTATTAAAGGAAAAAAATAAGGTTAGAATGAGTTAAGATAATTATAGGATAGAAAACAGAGGAGGATGGAAAGGAATTGCTGAAATAATTAATAGAAGTGGAATACAAAAAAGGAGGTGTGAGGAGGTCGTGGAAATAAGTGAATGAAAGATGGGATAATGAAATTGGTTGATTTATTTTATTGTCTTAGTCTTGTTTTGTTAATTTGATGTGTTGTATTGTATTGTTAAACAGAATATAACTTCAAACATTAAAAAAACTTCCCTAAACAGGACTGCCTTCAGATGTCTTCTAAAAGTCAGGTAGTTGTTTATTTCCTTGACATCTGGTGGGAGGGCATTCCACAGGGCAGGCGCCACCACCGAGAAGGCCCTCTGCCTGATTCATAGTCTGTACATGCAAAAGACATCCACAGTACAAATCTTGCAGCTGTGGAATCAAGATTCTGTGCTTGGGAAGCTCAAGTTCTCTGCTCAACATACAGTCTAGAGATCCATGCAAATGTGCTTATTTTGTATAAACCTGCTTGATGCAGGGAGCACACACTCCCTCACAACATCTGGCTGTGCTCCAGATATATGCAGCTGCTTTCGCTTCTAGCTTGGCTTTGAATACTATAGAAGGGGAATGCACCACCTCTACAGGGCTCCATAGTGTGAGATGTTGTGTTCCTAGAGCTAATTCTCACATTATTTTTTCCTCCAGACGCAGGATTGCTTGAGCAAGTCACCAGTGGACTTCCTGCAGCAGCATTTATGAATGAGTGATACCTGTTACCAGGAGCCTGACAGAGTTACGAACCACAGCAGAATAACCAACCCGGCTTGGAATTTTGACTGGTTCCCTAACAAACTACATGAACAACAACCTTTCCCAGGATCTTACCTTTCCCAGGATCTAGTCGCATGCTTTCCTCACCCCCGCAAAATGTTTGTGCTTGGATGCAGACAAGGAAGTGCCTTGCAGGAATAAAACCAATACATAAATGTGCCCTTCCAGAGCAGTCTGCTGCTGTGCTCCCTCAGAGGAATTGAGATCAAAGAAGCACACTTGTTAGTAGTCCCAGGAATGGGCAAAGCTCGCTAAGAAATTTCGCTTCTAGAAAGTCAATATCCCATGTATGTTTTGCTGAAGCAAAAAACCTTCGATTTTCCTTGAAATGTCAGTCAGTCAGTCAGATTTTTATTGTTCGTCGTCAATGGGCATTGCAATACAACCCGAGAAAAAGTTAAACACGCCTATTTTCAGAACTGGAAATTCCCCAAATTTAAAGCTGTAAAGTTCCCCAAATCATTTAGACCATGAGTAGGAAAGAGTTATCAGCTTGTGGCCTGCACAGTCTTCTTCCTGGGGATATATGCCAATATTGGGCATGACCAGAAACAAAAGTGGGTGGAGAACAACTGTTAATTTAGTCACACACCCCTCTCTATCTTTCATCCAGAGAAACAAGAAGCATGACTGCAATTGAGACTGGTCCAATAGGGTAAGTGTTTGCTTCCTTACTTACAACCAGTCCAGCAGGTGTCACTTTGAGTTGCACTGGTTGCCTGCTTCCTCCCTCTCAATGTTGCCTTTGTAGACCTCGGCATGGAGGAGAGTGGAGATGAAACTAGAATTAATTGACTCCATCGGTCATTGACTCTGGTTCTGGCTACTGTTGGTCTCCTTGCCTTCTGCCTACTAGTCCCAAGGGGTACCACTCTCCACTGGTGTTGAGGATTCAAGGACACATTGTACCCAGGCAAAAGCACTCAAGGAGAACTCAAAGGAGGTCCAGTGGAGGATATGGCCTGGGGAGAATGCCAAAGGCCAGGCAGAGAGATCTGGATGGCTGCATTCAGACCCTGGGCCTGAGGTTCCTCATCCTTGATTTAGATTTTTTTAAATTCCCTCAGCAGTTGACACTGTTCTGGGTCCAAAAAGTAGTCTGCAAGTTTCTCACAGTTAAAACATATAAAGTCATTCTGTAGGTAACAAATGTCTACATCAGCCAACAACCATCTAATTTTGAAATCATCTGATTGACCTTCTTGAAAATTCACAAATGAATAGAGGAACATGTCCCTAGGTGAATTGAATAAAGGGCAGGACGGGATATAGTGCATATTGAAATGCCACTCTAAGTAAAATGTAGTGACCTATCTAAATAGTCACATCCCAGGAAGGTGGCGGCCTACCTTAGTGTCTCTTGCCTGGTCTTCCTCCTTCCACCACCGGGATTGTAAAGTTTTCCCTCCCTCTCCAATGTGAAGTTTACCTCGGAAGTGCTAGGATGCAACTCAACTTGCACTGGAGACAGATACACCTGCATGGGAAGAGTCGACAGAAAGGAATATCCAAGCATCTTAGACTGTCCTTCCTGGGGTGACCTATTGATCTTTTTGCAAGGTTAGGCTGATATTCTTAGTGTTGTTGACTTGACCTCACCTCCTTTCTGCCTCCCTTGGGAGAGGAGACATATTTTGTGTCTCTCCTCCTGAGATGAAAAAGCAAGCATGGCTCATTGCATTCTCTACCTTAGTTAGAACTAGAACATAAAGGTACTAAGGGTTACCTTCCTGAGTCATGTGGATGTGAAAATGGTTAAGGAATTATCTCAGTAGTTAGAGGGCTGTAAACCAGGGGTGCTGGATATAGGGGCAGAAGGGACTTCAGCCCCCCAATATTGAGGGGGCTGCCACCTGCCGCCACCAGGCACCCTCTGTGTGCCCCAGCCTACATCCAGCAGCTCAGGAACCAGGAGTCAGGTGGGGGCTGGGACGATCTTTGCCTTTGCTCATCCCAGCATCTGCCCAGCATCCTGAGAGCCCAGGATATTGGTCCATCATACCTTTCATGTGAGGAGAACTACTTCACTTTCATTTTGCTCCCTGGCTTGATACTGCAATCTCTGCTTTCACACTTCCCCATGCTTTTCTGTGAGATATAACTTGGGGAAACTTGATTCCCTGATCAGCAGCTCGGAGAGCACCATTTCCCCTCTCCATGTCTGGCTTTGATGTGGAACTTCTGTGTGGTAGCCTGATTGAATCAAAGGTGGTGGGAAGGGGCAAGAGACAGGTCTGTAGGATTAGAGACATAAATGAAAGGTAATTACATCAGAGGCAGACAAATTGGCAAGTCGGCAGGGATACAAGCAAGGCTAAATAGCATTTAATTCTCCATATTAATTAATTTGGTTCATTCCTTTAAACAAGACTTGACACACTGGGTCATTGTTGAAACATTAAGGACTGGTAAAATCTAGAGTGTTTATGGAGTTTGTGTCCAACAGCATCCAATTCTCCACCCCTAGTTGGTTGTATATTCATCTACTTGTCTCCACCAGATGTCCTCATTCCTGATCTTCATCTAGTCTTGCCCTACTTTGATTCCACCATCATCCTGCTCACCTGCCCAACCATGGGTGACCTCCCAGTTTTTGATCCTTCATCTGTCAATGGGCCATTGCACATTCCCACCACTTTACCATGGCTGCTGGTACCCATTTATGCCACACAAACCTGAGTGCCGAAGGCTGCTGCTGCTGTTCACGTTTCAGTTCAGAGGGGAGCCATGAATGAAAGCATGCAAAGGGGCACCTGGAAAGCAATGCTGGTCTCCAGAAGTTAGTTGATGGGGACAAAAGTAGAACAAGAGCATCTCATTCTATGATACTATTTTTACCCTTCAAATAGGCTTTTAAGGCAAACATCATGGGGTGCATTACAGCAGCCACACATTGAACACGTAAACACAGGGTTGACAGTCATCTCACCTGGCTCACCAGGAAATTCCCCTATGCAGAATTAACATGGGATTCACTGCCAGTAAAATGTGAAGGCCACTGGTTTAATTGACTTTAAAAGGGTACTCAGCAAAAAAAAAAAAAAATGGAGAATGGAAATATTAGATGGAACCTTCAGATTTAGAGGCAGCAAACCTCTGGCTACCAGTTGTTGGGTGGACAAACAACTGGCAAGAACTGTTGCCTTCACGCCTTGGTTGTGAATTTCCTAGAAGCGTTAGGCTTGTACCCCTGGTAGAAACAAGATGCTGAACTAGGTAGATTTTTAATTTTGATTCATTGATGCTCTTCTTTCACAGGCACAACTTATGGCTGACTAATTTGTGACCACCAAGTCAAAAACAGTTTCTCACTTTGTGGCCTAGTCTTCTTGTCTCAACCCTAGGCAGGAAGCAACAAAAGGAGGCTGAGCTAAAGTTAAAAGTTTAATGTGCATAAGACTGTAATGGGAGGAGACAATATTGCCATGTGTTTTTATATTGTAAACCACTCTGTCATCTTAGAATGAAGGGCGTTACAGAAATTTAATCAATTGTTGTCGTCATCTTTGTATGCATGCCTTAAAACATCTGTAAAAGTTTGCATTCGCAAAGCTGAGAAGTTTACATTAAGCAAGAAATTCCACTCTAGGTGAAAGTGGAAAGCTGATGTTATTTCATTTCACAGGGATATGCTACCTGAAGTCTCATCGCAGGAAACCCAGGCTGCAGATCTCTCACAGCGGGAGAGGAAACATGAGAATTCAGTGATTGCTAGCAGTCGCAGTGGCAGAAGAAGCAATGATGAACGAGCTTAGGATCTTTCTCTGGGACTAGAGAGAGGAAACTTTACTGAACTGCATAAAGGACCTAAAGGACTGAGGCACACTGACTGCTACTTGAGTGCAATATTTTATTTAGTCATTGGTTCTTGAAACATTTATCATTATGTAACTAGTTTTAAGAATGTTTCGCAGTAAATCTTTGAAACTCATTCTTGGAGTGGAAAGCTGGAAGATTACCACACAAGGTCCAGATCAGGGATTGAGCCGAACAACTCTAACAGGCTGAACATCTGCAATATGGAGCCTTTGTTACTTGTGCAGGATCCTTGCACAATTTACAGCCCTGATCTTCCTACAAGAGCAGACCAGGTCCACCCCCCCCCCTTCAGAGATGCAGCCTCCAACGTGTGCAGAGGGCTGTAGAAACAGCAAAAGTGATGTAAGTGGTGGGTCAGGACCAGAGATGATTCCTGCATGCTTCTCCCCACATGATGGTAATCATGGGACGGAGGCAAGTGGAGAATGCCCGAGCAGTGCTTGTGTTTGACTTGGTGGGTAACAAATTCTACATCCTACAAACTGTGTACATTTCACAAACGCCAGTTGTCAAATCCAATGACGGCAGGTTGAAGGTTTTCCAAGAAGAATGGATTGCCTAAGAGATGAGGAGATACCCACCAAAGGAAGGAAGGGTGAACCCTATAGAAGAGAGAAGGATGGCACTTGCAGGTGACTCCACAACCTACACAAGGTAGCTCCACGGGAGGCAACTGTTTTCCAGCCCACTGAGGATGCTATTATAGGATAGCCTTTCAATTATTTGAAACACGGGCTTCAGTCAGAGAATACCAGGAATAGCTTCCAGCTTTTATAGAGAGATAGTAATCTGTCATGGGAAGGCATTTTTATCTCCTTGTTAAATTGGGAGAGAGGCTATTTGTGTGTTAATTGTGTGTGTACACCAACTTTTTTATATATAAAAAAATCAGAAACTCTTAATGGCATTTTACCATCAAGGAGAGTTGAATTGTTGGCTCTCAGGCAGTTTATAGAATACATCAAAGCTGTTCCTGTATGTGTGTGTGTGTGTGTGTGTGTGTGTATAGGCAGACATCACCAGAGAGACCCTGAATAGACCCCTTTTATCAAGTGTCTTGAACAGTTACTTGATCTTAGAGGTTTGTATGCCTGCAGTCGGCAATGTAAACGTCCGAGACAAATTACAAGGCAGGACCAGTGCAACAGTGAATGATGAAAGTGCGCCCAGAAAGGCAAACAAGCAGAGCATTACAACAGCCGCTTAATGGAAAACACATTTATTAACATCGAGTGCAATGTCTGTAAGTTTTTCCCTGCTGCAACTGCCTGGGAGATGCCGCTGGTTTTAAAAGATGAAACAGTCCAGTGAACGAAACTGAAGGTGGGTGTTCTTCCAAACGCACACACAGACACACAACCCCCCCCCCCACACCTTTCTGTTCCACTGTATTCTGCCTGTGTTCTTGGCAGTGCGACTGCCTCTTGGCTCTGGCAGAGATGGAACAAAAGCCACGCTGGCATGAAGAGAGCAACTTGATTTCACAGGGCCTCCTGGGAAATGTGTGCAGGAGCCAGACTCGGAGTTTGGCAGTCGTGTCCTTGAATAAAAAGAGGAGGAGGAGGAGGGCAGGAAGGAAAGAGCAGGAAAGGTCTCCATGCCGCACATGAGAAGCTTTCCTACACAATGAAATGGCCCTGCCCGGGTGCACTTAATGGGAAATGTATTCACGGCAAGCCAGTTCACGGTGCTCGCGCGGTACAGCAGCACACTTTGCCGTCTAATGCGCTTTTGCTGTCCACAGCCTGCCTTTCACGGGCTTTTATTGACAGCTTGAGAGATCACCAGCTTGCAGAAGAAAAGAACAAGGGAAGAGGGTTTCAATTAGAAATCCAAACTGCAGAAAGGTGCAAGATTTGGAACTGGCTACTAATAGTGGTTTCAAACTCTAGTTAAGTAGACTAACTCTAGTTAACAGGCACAACAACAATGATCAAAGACAACAAGGGGATATTGGGGGGCATTTGCATGTGAGAGGGGAGCGGCTGAGAGAGGGAGCAAGAAATCCTGTGGCCTGGTCCATTAAATGGGATGTTGGGATGGGAAGTGTCAAGAGAGCATATAGCCAGTGCATAAGCTATAGGGATTGCCTTGTAGGGTGGAGGAATTCTCTTTGGGAAAGCACTCTGAACATTTGTTCACTGTTCAACAGGAGTGCTGAAAAAAGCCCAGATTAACGAACTGAGCAGTCTCGCTATTGCCATTCCATGCTTTCTTCATCAAAACAAATGCTTACCTATGGGAACAGGCAGTGGGGAGGACTCACTATCATACCAGAGAAGCTTCATTAACTACAAACCCAGAAATTTGGGGTTCCCTCCAAACCAGTGCCAAAGTAAAATGAAGATGAAATAAAGGTTCCAAACAACTTAAAAAGAAAAGGACTTGGTTTTCCTTTTCCTTTTTTAAGGATCATGCAATCCTTGGGTTAGCAAAGATGTAGGCTTCTGAAATCTCCCGTTTGGAGAGATTTGGTTCAGATGGAGGGAGTCATGGCTACGTAGCTTCTTGCTTGTTCCAGGAAGCAAGAATAAGAAAGGAATGAGAAGTGGGGAGCAGAGGCTGCTGAGTAAGCCACACCCATTTACAGCATGAGCTCAGGGCTCAGGTTAACCCTTTCTATGCATGCAAGTGTGACCGTATATTACAACATCCCCTAGCTTCAAACATCTCCTTTGGCTAAGGCCAGACGTCCTTCTGGCCAAAACATTTATTTAGCATTCCATTTGTATCCCATCTTTCCTTGCATAAATGGTTCTCCACCTCCCTATTTTATCCTCACAATGGTCCTGTCAAGTTGGTTTGGCTGAGGGACTTTGACTGGCCCAAGATCGCCCAGGGAGCTTCATGTCTGAGTGGCAGATTTCAAGCCTGGCCTCTCTGGTCCCATTCTGGCACTCTAACCACAACTCTACCCTGGCTTGCTCCAACACCCTTCAGAACCCCAGATGTCACCACTCCTCTTTGAACATGTCTAATTTCAGTCTAATTTGCCAAATTGCTTGCTAAAATGCCCAGTGCTGTGTCTCTCATGTGCGTAAACTTCCACATTTTACTTAAAACAAACAAACAAACAAACAAACAAACAAACAAAAAAATCCAGTCAAACTTCTTGGTTACACAAAGCCAGATCCCTTGACGGGATGCTGTCTGTCGACGCTGCTCCAATGTTCTGCCGCTTTAGTGTTGCAGATGTTTTTGTGTCTTGATAATTAGGTGCCTCAAAACAAAATCCAGACGACTCGAGACCATCTACAATGGTCACTTCATTTCTTTTTTGGCACATCATCATGGGTTAGTAGGTTAAGGAGCTTACCCTTAATTGAACTGGGTAATCCTCTCAAATCTCCCTGGACATCCATTCTCCTAAGTCCGGTGTTGTTCATCCTTAGCGCCGCTGATGTGAATGGTGATTTTGATTCCCTTTCTGTCTCACCTGGTTTCCCTGGGAGTTCATCTGCTCTCCATTTCATAGCAGCTGCTGTGTCAATAAAAATCCGGCTTTTTGTCTCTCTTGACAAGTGCTCACACAATGCATTCTGCAGACTCTCATTGTGAAGGGCCTCTCATTCTCTCACTAGCTTAAATTGATTAAGAATCATTTTATTCCAGATCTATGTGTCAATTGGCATATTTATTTCTAATCAGCTCTTTAAAATGGCATCATTCAGAGGTGCTTAACCACATTACTTAATTTTCAGACTCTTTTGCTATTGATTTCTAATACTGTTTCTTCTCAAGGTATGGCTGGACATACCATTCAGGAACAGATTCCCCTCTCTGGAATAAAAGGCAGTATTGGTGGTTATTTGGTGAGTTTGACCTGGAAAAATTCTGTATACAAACTTTCTGCATATAAACCAGACATTCTCATGTCATTTCCCACTATTCCACATTGTACAATTGTCATGCCTCGTCCTTCCTTCCTTCCTTCCTTCCTTCCTTCCTTCCTTCCGGTGCTATCATGCTGGTAAATTTGCCTAGCAAAAAGCTCTAAGGATACACTGGCAATGTTCAAGGTTTCATGTGAATTTGGTGCATGGAAGAAGTTGAGAGTGTGGTCTGGAAGAATGATTAAGGTCTGTGGAATCTGAGAAATTTTTCTAGTCTTGTCAATTCTTTTCTTGCTTCCCTGGTGTTTGGCTCGAGGTGGAATCCCCAACTTTCTCTGAAATTTCACTTTAGACCAAATTGGATGGGGATGCCTTTCCGCTGCAAGGCTCTGATCTGAGGATGCATCACATGATGCCTGGAAGCAGGCTGGATGCCATGCTAGCCGAATAAAGGGTGGGGTCACTCCCTCACTCATGTCAGTCAGAAGCTTGTTCCCTTGCTACACACATTGCCCTTTGCACCCATCCAGCAATGGACTGTCCTTTTAAAGCAAGATAGGAACTTTTTGAGACAAGATGCTTTGAATACATTCCCCAAGGCAAAGGAATGTGCTCTCTTGGCAGCAGCGTGGAAGAGATCAGTGCCAATTCCCAAGAAAACCCCATTTTTGGACAACGTGTATCTTGTCAGAAACAGATGGACAAGATACGAGTCTGATGGTACATTCGTTAATTTGTTTATTAAAAATCTGTTTGTATTTGACAAAGATAAACTCAACGGGCTCAAGTCAATGGAGCGCTCAGGAGATCCTTCTCCCAGTGCAAACATTTCAGCTTGTCCAATGGAACTGTCTCTCCCCCTGAGCATTGTTCCACAGGTTCTCTCTCCCATACACACCCTGAGTAATAATAATAATAATAATAATAATAATAATAATAATAATTTATTTATATCCCGCTCTCCCCAGCTGAAGCCGGGCTCAGAGCGGCTAACAACAATAAAAGTAACACAGTTTACATAAAATCACAATCAATTAATTGACATGCATTGTAAAATCAATTCATTCTAAAATCAATTCAAAATGAAATTAATGGCAACCATTGGTCTAGAGTTCTGCGAGGATTACCGAAGGAGGGAGTCAGACTGTGCCCTGGCCAAAGGCCTGGTGGAACAGCTCTGTCTTGCAGGCCATGTGGAAAGATGTCAAGTCTCGCAGGGCTCTAGTCTCTTGTGACAGAGCGTTTCACCAGATCGGGGCCACGGCCGAAAAAGCCCTGGCTCTGGTGGAGGCCACCCTAACCTCCCTGTGGCCCAGGATCTCCAAGATGTTTTTGTTTGAAGACCGTAAGGTCCTCCGTGGGACATACCAGGAGAGGCGGTCCCGTAGGTACGAGGGTCCTAGGCTGTATAGGGCTTTAAAGGTTAAAACCAGCACCAGAGTTGATTTGGGGAGAGTGCAGGGGTGTTTGTGGAAGGCGGAGAAGTCGCATTGCACTCATCATTCACCTGGCTCCCGCTAGTGCAACAATTTAGTTGAATATGGCCCAGTGTGAACAATTCATAAAACCTCAACATCTAAATGGGGGAGAAGGAGTCAGAACAGTATGAGTTGTGGGGGAGAAAGTGCAGTGTCTAGGAAGGAAAAAGAAAAAGCCTGGTGTCTATTTGGTGAATTGGAATTTGAGCAAAAGGAAAGAAGTGAGTGGAAAGAGCTGAGTCCATAATTTTTATGCATATCTACATAGAATCATAGAGTTGGAAGGGACCATGAGGGCCATCTAGTCAAACCCTCTGCAATGCAGGAATCTGCATTGTAGCTCAGAACTGTCTCTACTGACTATTGCTCTTGAGGGTTTCAGATAGGGTTCTAGGGATTCCTTGTGAAAAGAAATGTGCATATAATGAAATGGGGAAAAATGTTTAAAATAACCTTTGTTAAAAAACCAGAAGCTTTCTTATTAGGAATTATGGGTACCGACATTGCAAAGGAGCAGAAAAGACTTTTTATGTATGGGACAACAGCTGCTTGGATGTTACTAGCCTAGAGATGGAAAGAAGACTAAGTCCCTACTAGAGAGGAATGGCAAGCTAAGCTGATGGACTATGCCAAAATGAGAAAGCTGACTGGAAAACTCAGGAACCGATAGGGCAAAAGCTTTAAAAAAGAATGGAGAAAAATTATAAGTTATCTAGGACACCACTGTAAGCAGATGGAAACATTAGCAGGATTCTAATTCCACTTGTAATGTAACAAATACCATGGATAAAATGGATTGATATAAAATTTAGAGTATGGAATAATATGCAGGTCTAAATGTTGAGAATACGACCCCATGGAGGCAGTGGGGGGAAGTCACGAAATTCAGAGTAATCTCAATGTATAGATATGTTTTTATTTTATTTTAATTTTATTTTTTAATTTCTGTACCGCTTTATATTTTTAATAAAGATCTCAAAGCGGTTTACAGCATATTAAACCAATAACTCAATAAAACATTGTATGTTCCTCCGGCCTCATGAGGAGCCTCTTCAGTAGAAGTATTTGGATTGTTATAATTTTATATTTGTAAAATCAAATAAAAATGATTTTTTAAAAAAAGAAGAAGAAGTGTGCATTAACTGTGGATTGAATTAAACTGCATGCTGTAGATCAGGTGCTGTCAATGGTGGCAAACAATGGCAGCCATGTGGCTTAAGCTCTGCTCCCCTAAAATGCAGAATTTTAGCAAAAAGGGATTTGGGGTGAGGCGGGGCGACAGTTGTTCGGCAGGGAGCTCTCCCCAGTCCACCAGGGGGTTTTGCTGCCACTGCTGGTACTGCTGTGGTGAATGGTCCCAATGGCAGAAGAAACTGAGGGAGAGGCAGACATCTACTGCTTTACCTCTGAGGTCTTTGCCAGGACTATGCCTCTATAATCACAGTGCAGTCTTAGTCACATCTCGCTTTTCCTTAAAGCGTCTCACACAAAATCACCCTTGTAAACAATCAGAGAAGAGGGGCACCACCTTTCATGTGATGCACATAATTAAGAAATATCAAATCACCATTGAACGGCCATCGAATTTCCTGAAAAGGGAAGAAACTTGGTCGAGAAAAGAAAGAAAAGAAAACTTTGAATGAAAGGCTCCCTTTGGCCTCCATCATAATAACCCTGCATGCTTTCCATATTGTGGGTGGTGTTTTGTTTTGCTTTCTTTCTCTTCTGCAGCAAACTATTTGCTTGTAGTAACCCTGTCTGACTTGTCGTTTCATTAGTGGGATATTTTTGTATACAGTGCCATTTAACCTTGCTATGATAGCCCCAGAAATCCCAATTTGAAGTTTGATTGACATGCCGGGTCATGCCATTGCATCCTTAGCTCATGAATAAGGCAAGAGGAAAATCGCTCACAAACAGAATAGGCTTTGTATTGCAGATATCTTGACACAGCTTTCCCCCAGACTGCAGCCAGTATATTACAAAAATAAGTTGGAAAATAATGAGTTGCCCTTAGTGCTCAGAGCACACCCCATTTGTGAATTGCACAGTGCTTGGGGGAGGGGGTAAAACCCAAACCCCAAGCCTTAATTTAGCTTCAGAACAAAAGGAAATGACAAAGTATATTCATGAAAACCAAACAGCAACCATATTGGGTCAGGACAGTGGTTCACCTTCTAATACATTATCCTGTCTCTGTAAGCAGTTAGTTGCAGGTGGCTGTTATTGACACCTGAGCCAGAAGAAAGGTAAAGACTTTCTTTCTCTAAGGGCTTATTCATACTTGTGCTTGAGCCCTGGGGAACAGATCCACCAATCAATTGGTGTGATTAAAAAATGAAAGGATGCTCTGTCTTCTGCAATAGTTTTAGTTCTTGTTAGAAAAATGTTACATAGATTTTTATTTTTTTGGTACGGGCTTTTAATTTAGATTCTTTCAGATTTAATCTTTTTGTTATTGTCGCAAGCTGCATTGTGGAGTCCATTGAGGTCGGAAGACTGGGTAATTAAATTAATTGGCTTCCTGTTTTGTAGACACAGTCTGAATGCCTGTAACTGGCAGGTGGCACAGACAAAATGGGGCTTCTTTTTAACCAGAGAGCCCCTTCTGATTTTTAGCTCAGTAGTGTAAAAGTAGGCTGCTGCAGCCACTCAGGTAGCTTCAGATGCCCAATTTTGTAGGTGAGATGACTCCTTCTCGTGACAGCATCTCTTATCTCGGATGCTAAAACAAAGCCAGTACAGGAAGGAACTATGCTGTGGACTCTGGCCATGTGAGATTGAGCTACCAAAGCTGCAATCATTGGTGAATTGTTACACATGAAAGAGGGTTGGAAGTCAACATTCTGACACCTGGGCAGATTCAGCCCACCCATAAGGCAAGGTGAAGTGACTGCCTCAGGTGGCGGGATCCATAGGAGCAGCAGAACCTGATCTTCCTCCCTTCCTTGTTCCTGATGTAGATCTTCCATCACCCTTCTTCCCTGGTGGGGAGGGGGCATGCCATTCTGGGGTCTGCCTCAGGTGCCAAAATGTATTGGGCCGGCTCTATAGCTGAGCCAATGTGGTGTAGTGGTTAAGAGCGGTAGTCTCGTAATCTGGGGAACCGGGTTCGCATCTCCGCTCCTCCACATGCAGCTGCTGGGTGACCTTGGGCCAGTCACACTTCTCTGAAGTCTCTCAGCCCCACTCACCTCACAGAGTGTTTGTTGTGGGGGAGGAAGGGAAAGGAGGTTGTTAGCCGCTTTGAGACTCCTTAAAGGGAGTGAAAGGCGGGATATCAAATCCAAACTCTTCTTCTTCTTCTATGGGCAATACCCCCAAAGGATCAGGCACTGGAAATTGTCTAGGTTAAAGGATGGGGTCTATTTGCCCAGTGATAAAATCTTAGAGCTCTGCACCCAGGGATGGAGCCCATAGATCTTGGTAACAGAGTCTAGAAGTGTTGTTGTTGTTTAGTCATTTAGTCATGTCCGACTCTTTGTGACCCCCATGGACCAGAGCACGCCAGGCACTCCTGTCTTCCACTGCTTCCCGCAGTTTGGTCAAACTCATGCTGGTAGCTTTGAGAACACTGTCCAACCATCTCGTCCTCTGTCGTCCCCTTCTCCTTGTGCCCTCAGTCTTTCCCAACATCAGGGTCTTTTCCAGGGAGTCTTCTCTTCTCATGAGGTGGCCAAAGTATTGGAGCCTCAGCTTCACAATCTGTCCTTCCAGTGAGCACTCAGGGCTGATTTCCTTCAGAATGGAGAGGTTTGATCTTCTTGCAGTCCATGGGACTCTCAAGAGTCTCCTTCAGCACCATAATTCAAAAGCATCAATTGTTTGGCGATCAGCCTTCTTTATGGTCCAGCTCTTACTTCCATACATCACTACTGAGAAAACAAGGGGCAAAACACAAAGAGTGGGAAATGATTGGTGGCAATAGCGTTAGAAGACTCTGTGGTAGAGCATCTGCTTTGCATACAGATTGTCTCAGGTTCAGCCTATGCCATCTCCAGCCAGGGCTGGGAGAGTGCCCTGCCTGGTACCCAGGAGAGCCACTGCCAATCAGAGTAGACAATACTGAGCTCAATGGGCCAATGGCTTGACCTGGTATAAGGCAAATATTGCAACAATTTATATTAATTTCTTTTCCGTGACTGCATAGTTCTCACTTTGAGCCATGCACAGCAGGCCAGCCCTGGCATAGATTGGGATCAGTGGCATCTCCTGTGCCACCCCTAAGAATGGCATTGCATTTCAACACTGGGACAAGAGGGGATGTTGTGTCTGCCTGTTAGTTCTGAGAAGCTTTTACCCTGGGCCACTTATACTGGTATCAAGATAACTTAAACACTTGCAACAAACAGAGACTACGCCAGCAATGTGCAGCAAACACTGGGTTTTCTTTCATCCTCTGTTCACACAAGCTTCAGCCCGGCACCCATCCTAGACGAAAGCTTGGGGTCTGGAGCGTGTGCAGGCTTGACTTTTCCAGTGCCTTTGGGCCACTAGGAGGCAACAACATGTGCATATCTCTATCTTTTAGGTAAGCACTAGCTCCTAGAATCAGGCCTCACCTTTAAGACAAGTTTGCTTGCCACCCCACTGGTGAACCTAAGGAAACCAAAATCTCCTGTGGTGCAGTGGGTTGGCGTGTCTAGCTGTTAATCAGAAGGTCAGTAGTTCAAACCCACCCAGGGATGGCTGTGGGCAGGATTCCTGCACTGCAAGAAGTTAGCTTAGATGACCCTCAGGGACACGTCCAACTCCACAATACTATGATTCTATGAATGCAAAACCAGGGAACATTTTTTGTTGTTTGTTGTTGTTTAGTCATTTAGTCGTGTCCGACTCTTCGTGACCCCAAGGACCAGAGCACTCCTGTTTTCCTCTGCCTCCCACAAGGGAACATTTACTCAGAAGTAAATCTGACTGTGCTTGGTGGGGACCTTTCCCTAGTAAGTGTGCTTGTTTGTGGAAATAAAAGTCCCAAATAGAGTGTGTTTCTGGAGAACCCCACCTCCCAAAAAAGCCCTTAGGCAGCAGAGATGGACAACAGCCTTTGATAAATTGGATCATTTAACTGGACATCTGAACAAACCGATGTTCCACTTCACATATCTGAAGTAACATACGTACCTTCTGCTGCTTAGAGGTTTCCCTAGACCCTGAGAACCGGTTTCCCAGATGGGTTTATGCCAAAATTGGGTAGCATTTCTCCCCGGCATTTCCCAGCCTGTGTCTTAGAAAAGGTTAATAAGGCAAGTTAGAAACATAAGTTAATGTCATTCGCTACACAAAGAATGCCAGAGCTTCCTTTTAAGGGCCTGAAATAACTGTGAAGGGGAAAGGGGGGGGATTTCTGGTGCTTGCAATGTGTGTAATTGCAGGCTGCAGAGCCAAATGCAACGACTTAGCACTCTGTGAACTATGAATACATCATCATGATGGGGCTTGCCACTGCGGCTTAGCCCCTTGGCCACCTCTATCAGAAGAGTTGTTATATTTGTTCAAGATTAAGTGGTAGGAGGGAAATGCAGCGTGTGCCATCTTTAGTATTCCTCTCAGGTTGCAAAATAATAAAAAAAAACAAGATAAATAAAATAAAACCCAACGATTCTGAAGAAATATGTGTTCAGATTGCCGCTCTGTTTGACAAATGCTTCAATATTTTGTCGTGTTTGTTTTCCCTAGAACAATGGTGTTGTTTGCATTTTTAAAACAATAAGCATAGATGATGCTGATCTGATAATGCAGTTGTGCCAGTTGTGTGTGATGGGACTAGGGATGGAAGGATCTGTCAGTTTCAACTCTCCCTGTTGCTTGTCCCCCCCACCCAATCTTAAATTCAGTTTTCCACATTTTACAGCAATTTGCAATTAAAAGAAACCAATCATCATGAAATGTCACCGGTGTTTTAGTGCAAATAAACACAGATATTGTAGCCATTTACCAAGCAATTTCTCCTAATATACTGTATTTTGGTGTGCTATTTTCACTAATATCTCCATCTTTAGGCACACCCCATTCCATTCCAATACATGCATTTTTGTAAATGTTGTTTGGTTGAAGAATGGCATCACAAAATTTGGATATGTGCAATTTCAAAGGAAATTCCATAGATTTGGCTTTAAATGTGTAACTAGTCAAAATTCTGCTCAGTCCTTTGGCAGGACACCTAATGGCATTTTCTGTGCTACTTGCACTATTTGTCCTCTATGATTTTGCATCAGAGTGCTAGCAGGGAGAACAGCTATCCCTTATCTGAACTCAAAGAAAAGGGGCAAAAAACCTCATTGGTTTCTCCAGGGGGAAAGCAACTCCTTATAAGAGCTCGGCCTCACATTCTCAGCTAAGCCCTTTTATGTTCCCTGGATGTGAATATCCTCCTGGGTTCTTCCTTCACACTGAAGGGTGAAGATCCAGAAAGGAGCAGCCCTCTGACCAAGAGCTTTGCTCACTGTAGGCACTCTAGAATGTCAAGACAAGTATCCTGCCTTTGTTGGCAAGCCAGTGTCACAGCCAATCCCAGATAAGGTAAGCCACACATCAGATAGTTAACTCTTTATTGGCAAGAGAAACACTTGCAGCAGCTCTCAAGGTGCTCCAGATACACATATCCACATGCTTCTAGCCTCTGAGCAGTGGTCCACAGGTCTGGGCCCTATGGAGCAGTTGCAGCAACTGGGACCCCTTTCCCTCCTTATACAGTGGTACCTTGGGTTACATACGCTTCAGGTTACAGACGCTTCAGGTTACAGACTCTGCTAACCCAGAAATAGTACCCCAGGTTAAGAACTTTGCTTCAGGATGAGAACAGAAATCGTGTGGCGGCAGCAGGAGGCCCCTTTAGCTAAAGTGGTACCTCAGGTTAAGAACAGTTTCAGATCTGGAATCGGCAAGATGAACTGTTTCGAAAGGACTGGAGCAAATTTATATTTTATATGGAAGAAAATTGTAAACATTTGAAAACGTTTGTAGGTTTGAACTGAAATGCTTTGTAATGTGAAAATAAGGAACTGATTTACACATAAGGAGGTAATTGTTATAAAAAAGAAGAAGTCTTAAGGTTAAAAAGTGGTTATAGAAATGCGAGAATTTAGTAAAAGATGTTTGGAAGTCAGAAAGAGGGAGAGAAGGAAGTCGATGCTCTGCCTGAGCAATGCTTTATGTTATAGACTTGTGTAATGAGATGTAATTAAATATGAAAACTCAATAAAATTATTATTATTATTATTTTAAAAAGAACAGTTTCAGGTTAAGAAAAGACCTCCAGAATGAATTAAGTTCTCTGTGAGGAGCCTCACTGCAGCATTCTGCACCCGCTGGAGTTTCTGGGACAGCTTCAAGGGCAGCCCCGCGTAGAGCGAATTGCAGTAGTCAGGCCTGGAGGTGATGGTCGCATGGATCACTGGGGCCAGGTTGGGGATGTTTTGAGCACCAGAGATATGCTGGCAATGGCCCACCCCACCAGCAGTCTAGCCGCTGCATTTTGTACCAGCTGGAGCCTCCAAATCAGACTCAAAGCTTTCCCCAACTCCCAAGGTATGCCTCTTGAGCCAGGCTCATGCAATCTCTTGCAGCATTGCTCCTACACGTGTAAGGTCTTCCAAATATGCATGGGTCTTGTTGTGGGAAGCACTGTGGAGAAAATTGCAAGGCCAAATTTGCATTTGTGGATGTGTCTTAGTACTGCATGAAAAGAAGAAGAAGAAGAATTAGCTAGCTGGCCATTAGACTTGCCTCCAAATAGATATTCATAGGATTTCAAAGAAAGGTAACAGGAGGGACCTGCTTTTTAGAAGGCAGTGGTAGAAATGAAATTCCTTCTGACAGATCTTCCCTTTGTAGTTCTCGAACCCCCCAAACCTCGTTTTGAACAGGGAGGAACAAGAAAAACAGCAGGTGGTATCTATTAGTGTCCTCAAATTTATCACTGTCTGAAGGCGGGGAGATTGATGGCTTGGATTCCTGCATTAACTTGTGTTTTGGAGTAGGAGCTAAGCTGGGTTGAAATATTTAGAAACTGCTAAGGAAGAGAGCCACCCACCGTCGTCAGAATAAACACATTAGAGAGGAAATTACTGCATGACATTCAGTCTGACGGATCCCAAATAGAAAAGAGAGAAAGGAGGGGGAGAGAGTAGATAGACAGAAGTAAGTAATGCATATGTTTAACCATAATAAAGTTAGGTGTGAACACTGTCATTTTTTTTCTGAGAAAGCTCTTCAAATACTATTTGAAGTAAAAGTCACCAATATGAGACATTTTTAGTTATGTATATATTTAAGATCTGCAGGTCCAAATCCGTTTACTCAGCAGATTAATCAACTAGTGTTAGTTGATTAATTGACGACAATTTCAAACTGGAATGGATGTTTAGACATATGCCAAGGGCTGGGACCAAAATTCTGAATTCATATTTGCAGTCTGATAGGAAAGAAACCCCCAAATATGAGAGCTTTGGCCTTGCTGGCATCTTTTGATTATTCTGATTTTGTCATGCGTCAAATATACAGTGTCTTGAACTGTCAACCCAACATTTGTTCAATATGTGCATATGCAAATGAGATTTATTTTTTTTTTAAAAAAAATCACATTCATCTCAGCTCTGCCAGGAGACTAGCTAAGCTATTTTTCATCTTTTGCAAAATGGAGAGGCTGAACCATATGTGTGAGGGACAGCCACGCATTACATCAAGTGGAAAGAGCAGACTGGATTGAAGATATCAATGTTGGCAAAGACCCTGCCAGCATTAATAAAGATAATTGACTCATAGTTGATTTGCTTGATGTTCAACTTTGTAGCTCATTAAAAGCCCTTGGTGAAACAAAATATTTTTTATATCTGTTTCAGCTTTAGCAGCAATGATTTAGCTTGATTAGGAAAATATACTCATAATTTCCAGCTCTTTGACATCTCAATCTAAATTAACACTCATTGAAAAAAAGCGATAGCATCAGCCTTGTCACTGAGGGAAAATAAATTGAATTCTCCAAAGCCTTGCATTTAAATAAACACAAAAAAGAAGGCTCATTGAACAAAAGCTGTAACAGTGTGGTCCATCCACTCCTATGAGTGTGGGGAGGAGCCCTCTATCTGTGGGGCTCCCCATGTTGTATCATAGCTGTCAACTTTTCCCTTTTTTAAAGGGAAATTCCCTTATTCCGAATAGGATTCCTCACAAGAAAAGGGAAAAGTTGACAGCTATGTGTGGTATAGGTCAGGCATCAGGGATGCCACTGGGCAACTGTGGGGAGGGACTGACAAAATGTCAGCTCTGTCCTGAGTTAATGGCATGGCTTGCACATTTTCTCCCTTCCAGACCTCTTTATGTTTAATCCTGCCCTATGCCGTTCCACCTGAAGTCGTGACACAATTTATAGACGCCTAAAAAAATGATACAAACCACTGAGGGAAAAGCAAAAACCTCTTGACCCGGGGCCAGCTGAGGTTGGGGCTAAATTTCCTCTCAGGATCTGTCAACCCACGACCCCAGTGAAGCACTAGCACTGAGGGAGAGCAGATGAAAGCTCACATCATAAGATGGCCCCAACTGTTGGTCAACCAAGGCTTCTGAGCTCTCCACTTTCCTAAAGCTCTCGCGAGATCCCACATCTTCCCACAGGATCTCATGGACCACCCAAGGCTCCCTCGAGAGCCAGGCAGAAGGCAGAAACCACTCCTCTCGTCTCCCCAGAGCCACTGTGAGGAAAATGGTAACCCGTTCTCATTTATAGCCTGTGATGCTTGGAACGCTCTCCAAAAACTCCTAGATGGGGGCACCTGTGTTTCCCTTCTTTCAAACCCCTCCTTAGAGTCTTCCATGAAGATTTTGGCTTAACTCCTTATTCTGCAGCTAAAATGAAGTCTTAAGAATATGGGACAGTTTTTACTTGAATTCAGGGCTCCTTGCTCCTGTCACCCTTGCCTCCCACTCCACTTTCTCACTGATTTCAAATGTAGCCTCTTCAGGATGGGGTGCCATCTTTTAAGAATCTAATAGCACCGTGTACACTGAGCACCTAATCAAATAGCAGCAGAGATGGGCTCTATAGGGCCAAATCTGATCTGCCCTGTGTGCATGGGGGTCTTGCCTTCTACTTACTTACCCCAAAGCTCTGTGCACCAGAAAAGATCCCACCAAGAATCTCTGCTGGAATCTCTGGAGCCCCACCCTAACAGGAAAACAAGCAGAACACTCTCTTGTGCATGTGTGGAAGTGCTGTGTGGTCACACACACACACCTCTTTGGGTCACAGCCAACAACAACAATAACAATACATGTAGTAACTTCCGTTATGCAACATTTTGTGCCAACAGAAAACCTCTCCTTTTCAAGTTCCATTCAGTTTCTACATTTGAAATACTGTCGTACCTTTGCTTACGTATCCCTCTGGATACGTAGACTTCGGGTTGCAAACGCAGCAAACCTGGAAGTGTATACTTCTGGGTTTCACCGCACGCATTTGCGCAGAAGGGTTCCTCTGGTTACAGCCAGGCCTCCGGAACGGATCCCACCCATAACCGGAGGTACCACTATATAGTCTAGGGTTGCCATATTTCAAAAAGTAAAAACCAGGACACCATGAAAGTTGTTGAACTTTACTTAGGAAGACCCCACAATTGCTGAACTTTTTTTTTTTTTAAGGAAACCACCGAAATTGTTTTTTGTTTAAGAAAAACCCAAAAGTTGTTGAGTTTCTTTTTACAAAAACGCCAAAAAACCCCACAACACCCCACATTTTTTTTATTGTCTTGCCTAAGATCCAGGACAAAGCACCGCCTTTAGGAAATTCCCCCTGGACGTCAATTCCACCTTCGGAATCTTAGTGATGTCTGGACATGTGACAGCCCTGAAATATACCCCTTTGAACACATCTCTGATTATCACGGGATGCCATCCAATGAAAGCAGTAAAACATTTTTGTGCAGTAACAGCTATTCACATAGCATGTTGGCACGAACAGAACACATCCCCTTATTTCCTTTTGAGGGAGTATTCCATATAAAATACATCTACAAACACAGACAGAAATACACTTTGTCAAAAAATCTGCATCACCCACCCTTCGTTTTGACCACAGTTACTCATTCAGCTGCAGTTCTTCCTTAGTATGACATTCATTGGAAGGCTGATTACTCTTGGGGGTTTATTTATTGAGACCGCAAACCTCCTACTGTGTTGTTGTCTTCTCTCTGAAGAGGAGGATTCCTTTAAAGCTTTTGCAGGAAGGACGGTTATGTGAACTCCTGGGAACTGATCCCTTGAACTCTTAGTGGTCAGATGACAGAATTCTGCCGCATCCTCTCCAGCCACATATTCTGTAGGCATCTCTACTGCTGGAGGTGCACATTTTATCAAAGGCAGTAATGAAGATCTTTCCCCTTATAGTTTGATCATTTCTGAACATAAATGGGAGAGAGAGAGAGAGAGAGAGAGAGAGAGAGAGAGAGAGAGAGAGAACATGCCTTTTCAAAGAGGGAGAGGGAGAATGGTCAAAACCCAAAGGGGTTAGCTAGTTACTGGGATGAAAACAAGAAAAGTTTCCCATAGCATGTTGAAGTAAAAGTAGCAAAAATGCAGCTAAGAAGCTCAAATCATATACAGTGGTACCTCGGTTTTCGAACATAATCCATTCTGGAAGACCATTCGACTTCTGAAATGTTCAAAACCCGAAGCATTTACTTATGGAAAACTCACTACGGAAGCTGCGTGGCACGTTCGTCTTCCAAAAAGCATTCGAAAACTGAAGCAGTTACTTCCAGGATTTTGGTGTTCGAAAACCGAAACGTTCCATTTCCGAGACATTTGAAAACCAAGGTATATGACTGACACTCTTCTTTGGAAATTATACCAGTGTCCAGACTTAACAATCAAAGACTTTACTTGCAGAAACTTAAGAGTTATAGGTGAATTGAAACATAATATTTACAGTCAAACATGGGCTTACAGTTCAAACATGGGCCTTACAGTCTCTTCTTCTAACAAGTACTTCTTCAAAAGTACTTGTAGATTAGTACCCTTTTTCTCAGTGCTTCTGCTCCCCAGCAAATGGTAGTTGGAGGCATTCTTCCTCTGTGCCTTTGAGTTCCATAGAGCGTTCGTAACTAATAGCCATTGAGAAGCCCACCCTCCACAACATAGTCTAACCCTCTTTTAAATGCATCAAATGTAGTGGCCCCTACTAATTATGTGCTCTTTGAAGACTGTAGGTTCCATGTGGATTTTTTTTATATATATATAGAGTCACAAACTAATGTGAGGAATGAACGGAAGATTGGAGGAAATGAGAAACAAAACGAGTGGCCAAATACTTTTAGAAGTTCACAGGCAGGGTGTGGAGGCAAGGACCGTATCCTGCTCTTTGGTCATTTGCATCTGTTGGA